CCAAGCGCAAATTTGCTAATTGCTGATGCTTATTCAATCTTTTTGTCAAGAATACCATCAAAGCCTCTCACACTTTTGGATTATTTGGTCGCGGATAGCAACATTGGAAGTACTGCCACAGGCGGTGATATTTCGGCCAGAGACCTCCCCATAGGCTGACAAAGACGCGGGTTAAGAGCGACGGAGCAGACGAAACTGAGGCCCATGGCAGGGTTGCCACACATCGATATGAGGAACATCAAGCGCTTCTTGCGAGTGCAAAAATAAGTCAACAATGGCCGGCGTGGCTACGCGTTCGCAGATGGCTTCAGGAAAACCGGCTATCACGTCTAGTTGAGTCGGTAGTGCCCAAGAGCGGAACTTAAAACCCCTCTCTCAATACTCTTTGGATGATCATCAAGGTAGCATGAAGCTCCACAAGAGATTAGGGATTCTCGCGGGATGAGGATGTCTATGAGCTCCTGAGTGGCGGTCGATGGAGCCATGTGCTCTGGGGCGCTTCTCTCATTGGCATCGTATGGTACTCACCCAACCCTAGACAATCTGTGGTCTGCACATACCGAAACACTACGTTCCGATTTATGCATGGCAACAAGTAGTTTCCTAGTTCGGTTCGAACGGACGATCTGTCGTCCATCGATTGAGTGGCTTTAAAGACAATCTGGAAAACTAGCATTCATTCGCAGGAGCCTTGCCCACTGAAAGAAATCATCCAGATTGTGAGATGGTGCTCACAGAGTAATCACTCACTTGACTCTACTCCATAAATTCGTCATGAAAATCAACTTGCTCGAACTTTGAACAGGGTCGAAATCACTGCTAATTAGCTGAATTCTCAAGCAGTTGGCTTCTAGGTGATATATTCGCTGATAAGAACACTGAAGCCTTCGTCACAGGCAATGCATGGGAGTGCAAGGTAAAGGCGATGTCATTGTCCCCACGCATTAAAGACCCAACACCCCATGGGAGCGGAAGCAGAAGGACTGATATGTCTCGCAACCTCCCGTGCCAGTAAACTAACAGAGGATTGGCGCAGGCGTGTTGGCTCTGGCGAATTCCATTCTACGAGCACCAGAGGCTGATGCCCAGATGGTTTGCCCATGTGCTCTGGCCATTGGTCGACACGACTTGGTCCACAGGCGCTGGCATGGACAAGCCGTGTTTTACCTCACCCACGCGGCCGCGCTAGGAGCTCGACAACGAGCTGGCGGGGTTGGCTCAATTGAGAAGCTCATGGTGGGGTTCTCCCTCTTTCAGGGTCCTAGGCCTCAACCACGATCTTCTCCTGAACACTGCGGTTATGGTACCAGCGTTTCGTTGCACGCTTCCAGAGCGACTCACGTAGATACTACTTCACCCTCCGCTGTATTGTTCAACGCTATCCAATGTATACCATACAACATGTTCGGTCGAGTGACCATCGAAATATAACGCAGCCGTTTTGTGTAGAAGTCTATATAGCGCTGCTGTCCTTTTGCGATTTGTTAAATGCTGCTTTTTGCTTCTTCAACGTATACGCTTTCTTTAACAATTCAACTTGCCAAGAGTCTCGAAACCGCTTCAACGCAATCTTCTCTTAGCCTCGAGCAATGAGAGAATACCATGGCTTCTCTTGGTGGTAACATTTTGCCCCTCGACCTTGATCTCAAGACTACCTTTGCTGGATTAAGTGCAGTAGCCCTTAGCGGCCTGCTCTTTTCCAAGCTTCTTTCAAAGAATGACGCGGAAAGCCTAGAGGCACCCGGACTCTTCAAGTCTTTCCTGCTCTTCTTTTACTCCTGCTTCATCAAGCCGCACAATGGCGACAAGAAGGGCAACCAGCAGGATGCCCTAGAAAGCTTCTACAAGAAGCAAGCCGGCGCGTATGATGCTACCAGGAAGGTCCTCCTGCAAGGCAGAGAGGACATGCTTGCGCTCGTCGCAGCACAGCTGAAGGCCAAAGGTCCCAAAAAGGGCAACAAGGCCAGGCGAGTCTGGGTTGATGTAAGTCATCCTAGCAGTCACATTATGTTTGTCGAACCTCGACTGACAATGCTTAGGTTGGTGGAGGAACGGGATGGAACATTGAAGCTATGTCTAGCTTTGTCAATGTGCCTGAGTTCTTCACAAGCGTCTACCTCGTGGACTTCTCCCCGTCTCTATGCGAGGTCGCCCGACAGCGCTTCGAACGCCTTGGCTGGAACAATGTTAAGGTTGTTTGTGAGGACGCGAGGAAGTTCCGACTGGAAGATTATGAAAATGGTCTCCCAAGTAATCGCGTTCCTCCTCGCTCACCTGTGCTGAGCTACTTCTCTCAGAAGCGTGCCGAGCACGGCGGCGCGGATCTCATCACCATGTCTTACAGCTTGTCCATGATCGTGAGTCACCTAAAGACGTACTCTCTGAAATGACTGTAACTGACTGTGGTCAACAGCCCGACTACTACTCCGTTGTCGAGTCCCTTACATCACTTCTATCTCCAGATGGCATCATGGGAGTTGTTGACTTCTACGTGCAGTCTAAGACCGACTTCTCCTTCCGCAACTTCACTGGTGGACTGGTTGGGCGTCACGTCAACTGGTTCTTGAGGACCTTTTGGCGCGCCTGGTTCGACCTCGACCGTGTTGGTCTCGAGGCTAGCCGCCGCGACTATCTCGAGTACAAGTTTGGCAGTGTCCTGAACATCAACACCCGTAACTACAGCCTTGGTCACATTCCCTACTACATCTGGGTCGGATGCCACAAGAAGCCCTTCTCAGCTACCAGTCTGCCGCATGAGATCATTGAGAAGATCGATGCCCTTGCTACAGAATCGCCGTACCTGTTGCCTGCTAACGCGGGCGATGCTCTCACCCGCGCCATTGATCGATCGGCCCCCGAGATCCGTTCCAAGGCTTTCATGGCAGCCATCCAAAACTTGTCCGCAAGCCTCCCACTGCCCTCTTTCTTCTACCAGAACCACCACTGGCGCATATACTACGATGATCAGCTTCAGAAACACACTCAGTTCAACGATGAGTACATCTACGCGTTTACATGGGAAGACTCGAGAGTGGACGAGCACCTTCTGAAGCTCGGCTCTGACGACGTGGTCCTGGCAATCACCAGCGCCGGCGACAACATCCTCTCCTACGCAATGCAGAGCCCTGCCAGAATCCACGCTGTCGACTTGAACCCTACCCAGAACCATCTCCTAGAGCTCAAGGTTGCGTCTTACACTTCTCTTCCCTACGAGGATTTCTGGAAGCTGTTTGGAGAGGGAAAGCACCCTGACTTCCGCTCTCTGCTCCTGAACAAGCTCTCCCCCCACCTCTCCAGCCGTGCATTCCAGTACTGGCTCAACAACGTCCACGTCTTCACCAACACCAAGGGCTACGGTCTCTACGACACTGGCGGCTCCCGCCATGCCATTCGCGTCTTCCGCTGGATCTCACGTGTCTTTGGCTGCCGCGCCGCCGTCAAGGAACTCCTGTCCACAAAGACCCTCAACGAGCAGCGCGAGGTCTGGCGCACCAAGATCCGCCCCGCCCTGCTGTCCAAGCTCGTCTGCAAGCTCGTCGTCAGCCAGGAGAGCTTCCTTTGGGCGGCCCTCGGCGTCCCCAAGAATCAGCTGGCCATGATCGAGAACGACCACGCCGAGAGCGAGGCCGTCAGGGGACCCTCCCCGACCGCCCGCAAGGTCCGCTCCCACGCCATCTGGCGCTACATGGTCGACACCCTGGACCCCGTGGCCGAGCAGACGCACATCGCCGCCAATAACCCGTACTATCACGTCTGCATGACGGGCGACTTCACGCGGCGGTGCCATCCAGACTACCTCTCGGAAAAGGCCCACGCCAAGCTCTCGCGCGCCAACGCCTTTGACGGCCTGCGCATCCACACGGACGAGATTGACGAGGTTATCAATCGCATCACCCCCGGAACGCTGACCGTCGCCGTCATCATGGACAGCATGGACTGGTTCGACCCCGGCGCGCCGGCCGCGGCGGCGCAGATCACCAAGCTCAACCGTGCCCTCAAGATGGGCGGGCGGGTGTTGCTTCGCTCGTCGGCGCTGAGCCCTTGGTACGTCAAGGTCTTTGAGGCCCACGGCTTCTCGCCCAAGAGGGTCGGAGCTCGTACGGACGGAGCCTGCATTGACCGTGTCAACATGTATGCGTCGTGCTGGATCAACACCAAGGTTGAGAACCTTCCACCTCCGACCCCTGAGATGGACCATATGGGAGGTTCTGAGATCACCAGTTTCTCCCTCTAAGTGTAGAAGAAGTGCGTCTTGGGAAAGAAGTGCGAGCGAGATAAAAGTGATGATTGATGAGTAGGCTGGTGGTTGGAAAGTACTAGTTCGAGATATGTGACCCGAACATGAATTAGCGTACAGTCATTTTCTTAACAATGATACTTATTGGAATGTTTCAATGTTGACCGAGCGCGTTTTTGGTCCGAGGTTGGTGATTTCAGCATTAAATTTGCTTCTTAGAGACTTTTTGCGAAGAAATGTGAAAGCTGCACCTCAATACGGGATTAGACTCTCGAAAGCTTCGCTGACACACGCAAAATCTGCACTAGAGACCAAGATCTCTAGCAAGTTGTCATTGCGGTTACTTGTTCAGTCGATTTTCTCCTCCGTTGATTGCTTCCGACCTTACACACCGCATTGCGGTGATTAGATCTGCCTAACATCGAACACCTCATCCATCTCGGATAAACATTTAAGCTGTCATCCTAGAGCCGACTCACATTGAATTTCACTTGCAGAAATGTCGCACCAGGTTCATTGACAAAGAATCCAATTTTGCCTAGACTGGTGATTATACACTGGCCGTCCCAATTCTAAACCCTGGCGCCCCCTGAATCACATACAGTAAGCCGACTTCAGCGCCATTTCTCTGGTACTGATATCCTAGCACGACGTCTCCGCCTCCTCTGTCGCATCCTCAATCGGATATTATTCCCAGGTGACCAGCCTTTCATTTGCTGTCAAACAGGACAAAACGACACCTCTCTCCCATCTCTCCCCCGAATTAAGCCTTCCACAGACGCGCGACAGCCTCAGTAACACCGACGTCGCTGGTCTCGAACTCGTACAGGCCGAGGCCAACCAGTGCGGTGACGACGTTGAGACCCCACATGGTCGCCTTGCGCGACTTGGGGTAGTGCTTGGTGGGGACGTAATCGATGATGATGTTCTGGAAGCCGGTGTGGGAGTGGATGAGGATCATGGCGCAGAGGACGGCGTCGGTTGTCGGGTTCAGGGAGCCGGCGGCGAAGGGGGCGATGGTGATGGGGACGAGGCCGGCAGCGAGAATGCGGTCGAAGCTCCAGTGGTAGGAGCCATGGGCGGGACTCGGGGGAGGGACGGGGGCAGGGTCGTTCACTGGAGGTTATCACGGGTTAGGATGTCTTGCGTTTTTTCCAAGTTTTGACTTTCACATGGGTTTTCGTACCTCCACCCTGAATGACCTCTGCAGTGAATAGGTTAGCAATGATTCGATTATAAATGTATAGCATGCAAGGTGACTGCGACGTACGAGGACCGACGGGCAACAGATCCCTCTTGGCGGTTGTGTGGAAGGCGGCGACTCTTGACGAGTTCTTGACGAAGGCGGAACGGATCGGGGTGGCCTGGGCCATGCGGACCGCCGTGGCTGTTTGCCGGAGAAGAGCAGGGCGCACAATTGAAGCCATGGTGATCGCTGGTATTTCACGGGCGGTTCAATTGGTATTCGCGGGTGGAGGGAGGCGGGATGTCGTTGTTTGGAGGCTTGGAAGTTGAGAAGGAGAGCTAGGTTTAGAGTGCCGGAATCGATGATGTCCACTTAGCCGAGGGTAGGCACAGGTTCCGGATCGCGAAGACGGGCGTCTGACATTGGAAGGGCTGTGATTGGCTAATGAGCCCCCGATGGCTCCACGTGATTTCGGTCGACGAAGAAAGTCGGCATGGGCCGGCCATCGGGCCAACGTACATGCGTGACAAGTCTTATCGACATTGCGATAAGGGAAATTTTTGGAGCTTGGAGTGGGATCAGTTGCGCGACAGCTCTGAGTGACCTGTGTCAGTCATTCTGGTTGCTGGCAGGGTTGGTTTTCACATCCTCAGACTCCTATCCAGTGCTGAGCTTTTCTTTGCCGCTCTTTCTTCAATGCATTCAAAATTACAGATCTTCTAATTACCAACACACATACCCCATCATGTCGTCGACATTGGTGGCCCGCCTCCCCGAATTACGGCGGAATATTTGCGTTCGATGCGCTGCGCTCCCAGTAGCCCATTTCAGACAAAACCAAGCGAGATGGGTATCACAAAAGGTCGTGGAGAAGCGCAAGACAGGGGAGGAGGAGTGGGCAAGACGCGCCACAGCAATTGAGCAGGGTGAAATTCAGAACATCTGGGATGTATTTGAGGAGCGAGGTTACGTCAAGGACGTCGCAGGGTGAGTCGAGGCGCCCCCCCTTCGCTGTCGCTACTCGAGATAATGTTTGCTGACCTGACCGAACTCAAGGCGCACACCGCAGGTCAAAGAACTCTTGCGGACCAAACGAATAGGCGCATACGTCGGCGTCGATCCCACGGCGGCGTCCCTCCACGTCGGCCACCTTCTCCCCTTTATGCCCCTTTTCTGGATGTACCTCAACGGGTACACGGCCGTGTCGCTGGTCGGAGGCGCGACGGGCAGGATAGGTGACCCGACGGACCGACTGAAGACGCGCGAGGTCATGGCGAATAGCGAGGTCTCAATGAACATCACAAAGATCCACTACCAGCTGAAGAAGATTTGGGCAAATGTGGAAGCCCTGGGGCGAAAGTACGGCCATGAGGCGGACTGGGCGGCTAAGAGGCATCTCGTGAACAACAACATGTGGTGGCAAAGCTTGCCATTGTACGATGTCATGAAGAGACTGGGCCGCTTCATGCGGATAGGGCCCATGCTCGGCCGCGATACGTGAGTCCTCATATAGGAGAAGTCCCCCTACCCCTTTTCGACAGAGTTGCTGACCCCCTGTCTAGAGTCAAGAACAAGATGGAAAAGGGCGACGGCATGTCCCTCGCAGAATTCACCTACCCCTTAATGCAAGGATGGGACTTTTGGCACCTGTACTCCAAGCTCGGCGTCCAGATGCAAATCGGAGGCTCAGATCAGTTCGGAAACATCGTGACGGGCATCGAGGCCGTCAAGACGATCCGCGCGTCCGAGGAGAACCCCAACATGCGCATGCCCGAGACCTGGAGAGACGACCCAATCGGCTTCACGGTGCCCCTCCTGACGGACAGCGCGGGCGCAAAGTTTGGCAAGAGCGCTGGCAACGCCGTTTGGCTCGACCCCTTTATGACGAGCGCCTTTGACCTCTACGGCTATTTCGCCCGGCGGTCCGACACCGAGGTTGAGCGGCTCCTCAAGCTCTTCACCTTCCTGCCCACCGCCAACATTGAGAAGCTCATGGTCGACCACGCAAAGAACCCGCCCGCGCGCGTCGCGCAGCACACCCTCGCCTTCGAGGTGCTCTCTCTCGTCCACGGCGCCGACGTTGCCATCAGGGAGCAGCAGCAGCATCAGTTCATGTACAGCAAGGGATCCGGCACCCAATTCGCCGGCGCCTCGCCCGAGAAAGCGGGACAGGACAACACCGTGGCCCCCTACAAGGCCGTGGAAGGCCACCCGACGACCCTCAACAACGCGCCCAAGATGGACATGCAGCTCCCCGAAAACCTCATCTACAACCAAGGCATCGCCCGCATCCTCTACGCCGCAGGTCTCGCCACCTCCGTCAGCGAGGGCCACCGCATCGCCCGCGCCCAGGGCGCCTACGTCGCCGCCGCGCCCGGCAAGGACATGCGCGGCCTCGTGCCCGGAAACCTCGACTGGACGCCCGTCAAGCTCTGGTACCCGCAGGACGTGCCCAAGTTCCTTATTGACGGCCGCGTGCTCATCATCCGCAAGGGCAAACACAACGTCCGCATCATCGAGGTCGTCAGCGACAAGGAGTGGCAGGACAGCGGCAAGGCCTACCCGGGCGAGCCCTTCAAGGGCAAGACGCGCGTGCTGATGCAGCAGCTCAAGGAGCTCGCCGCGGCCGAGGGCCGCAAGCTCTCGCGCCGCGAGCTGGAGCAGATGGTCAAGGAGAAGCTGGCCGCCGAGGAGGAGGAGGTTACCGTTGCGAATAACCCGGATATCAAGTTCCCCAAGAAGAGCGAGCGCCAGCAAGCGTTCGAGGAGGGCAAGTCGCGGGAGTAATCGAGAGACTGCCGCAGTCCTTGTCGTCTTTCGAAATATTTTGATGTATCACATCCGATACCATGTGCAAATATCTGTACAATGACCTGTACACTACCAAAAACTTAGAACAATGTAAAACCACCATGCTCATGACAACTTCTTATAAAGACACCCTCAACGATAAAACACAGTCAGATCCCCGCTCGGCACCGGCAAAGCCTTGAGCTTCTCCATAATCTCCCCATCCGTGAGATTCTTCTCCGTAATAATCTGGTCAAACGAGTGACACCCGTCCGTATACACCTGCAGCGCGTCACCTCCTCCCCCGCCACCAGCCCTGGGCCGCGCCTGGCCCGTCGCTAGTCCCGCGAGGTAATGCTTGGACACGACGTACTTGTGCACGCGGTACAGGCACCCCTTGATGACGCCAAACTGCACCAGCCGCCTGACGTCCACGTACCTCAGCACGTCGAACCCGGCCTCCTGGTGCGTGCGCAGCCACTCCATCACGCTCTTGCCCACGCAGAAGCTCGTCATGAGCTTGATGAGCATAAAGTTGCTGACGCGCTGCCGGGCGTGGATGCACACGTACGCCGCGCACTCGTCCACGATCCCGTCCCGGTCCGCGACGAAGTCGTGTATCCCGGGGCGGGGCGCGTAGCAGCTGCCAAAGAAGAACATGTCGAGCAGCAGGACGGTGTCGTAATACAGCAGGTGGCGGAGGGCCAGCGTGGCGAGGTCGAGCGAGACGTCGGCGAGCCAGGCGATGCGGCGGACGTCGTTCACACCGTCAATGTGCGCGACGACCTTCTGCATCGTCAGGTCCCAGGTCTGGTCGACGATCTCGGCGAATTTCATCTTGGCGACGGGGACGTGCCAGCCGCGGACCTGGGGCGGGCTGGCGTGGTGCGGGAAGAGCTTCATGTTGATGGTGTTTGCGTCGTCTTTTGGGACCCTCTATGGTCAGCGATGTCTCGAGACATTGGCGATGCGCGGAACCGGAGAGCAAAAAAGGGGAGAGTGTGTAACTTACCAACAGGAATCATGCACTCGCCATAGTTGTTCAAATCCTCCTTGACAATCTCCAACAAACTCTCAATCGGCCTCCTCTCCCTCATCCCAGCCGCTCCTGACCCTCCACCGCTGCCCTCCTGGCTCAAATACTCATTCTGCTTCTCCATCTCCTTAAACGTGACCGCCAACCGCCGCACAACGGGCTCATACTGCGCCAAATCCGCGTCGGCGTCCAGCACCAGCCCAAAGTTGAAGATGAACTCGTTGCGCTGGTACTTTTGGTGCGGGATCAGCACGGGGAACCCCAGCACCGCGTACTTGCCCTCGGGGTCCTGCACCGTCATGTACCGGTTGAAAAAGGCCTTGCGCGGCACAATGTACTCCTGCATCACCTCCCAGTCGATGAGCGGCGGCTTCATCGCGGCCGTCGCCCCAGAGCCGGGGGGCGGCGTGGTGATGCAGCCCGGCGGCGACTGGGCCACGATGTGCGGGCCTACATCGTGGAGGTTAGTTTGAGGTGCGTCGTTGAGTAATGACCTTCTGCAAAGTTTAAAAGAGCGAGCGCGTTGCAGCCTCTTTCAAAAGGAAAAAAGAAAAAATAATACATACCCTCCTTGGGAAAGAACCTAGCATAGAAGATTCCTTGAATCATTTTCGCTACAGCTTATCCGAACACGTTGTTGTGGAGGAAGGCTGATAGACTCAAGCCGCCATGAACCATGGTTTGTGGTTGGTGGTGAGTTGAGTTCCTTAGCCTGCAGACGCTACGGCGCCGATTTCTGGGCCGGCACACCTCAATCACCCGGGGCCGATCTAAGCCGGATCGCGCCGGAGCTTGGGAACGACCATTCAATCAAACCACCACGTTTAAATCAAGCGCGGTACAAGACGTTTGCTTGATCGGGATTAATAGCAAACGCTCTCCGTATTTCTACTTCCGTCAATAACAAGGCTTCACGTGGTCTCCTTAGTCACGAGAGGATCCAAGATATTGGGTTGTGAACTTTCATAAACATCATGCCTGGATAATTTCCATATCGCCTCGGAAACTGCCAGAACCAAAGCGCGTGACAACTAGGTATGGTATGTACTTCCCTCCGTATCCTGTTCACAGGGCATTAAGTCATGCGTCCTCGTGAGACGCTTCCTGCTACTACTCTGCTCTCTCTCTCTCTCTTTCTCTCTCTACCCCCCGGTCATGTATTTCAAGTCATAATCAACCACTCAGAAGATGCTCAATCGCGCCTTGCACGCTGCCACCGCTACGACGCAGAGCGGCTACGTTCCTATCAAAGTCGAAAAAGCCCATATCGTTGAGCTGGCGCAGTTGCTCGGCATAACGCTCCTCGGGGGGACGGTTGTCTGGGGGAGCCGGAGAGCCTCCACCAGCACCGCCGCCTGCACCGAGACCCCACATGCTCATCATCTGCTGCATCATCTCTGGGTTGATCTGACCAAAGGGCGAGGCGCCAAAGGGGTTTGCGGGTGCCTGGCCTTGGCCTTGACCCTGAGCTTGGCCCTGAGCTGCGTAAGGAGGAGGGGCGAACAGAGCAGCAAAGGGGTTGGCCGGAGGTGGACTCGTTGTAGAGTTTGCGCCCTGTCCACCTGCTGCCGTGCCTGTCGTCCCAGTAGCTCCGGCACCAGCTGTAGTCTGGGCACTATCGCCAGTCGCCGCTCCCGCACCGGGAGCTGCACCTTGAGCACCGGGTTGCTGAGGCGCAAACGGACTACCAGGGCCAAAGAGCGCACTGAGATCACCGAGTCCCTCCATGCCCATTCCACCAGCGCCGCCACCAAAGCCTGGGAAACCTGCGGGGAAGCCGAACGGGTTGGGGGGCTGACCCGTGTTGCCGCCGGCAGCCGCAGCTTCGGCAGGAGTAGTGTCGGTGGCGCCAGGCGCAGGGAAGGCAGCGTTGCCGCCTCCGCCGGCCATGTTGCGCTGCATCCTCATGACATTGCGAAGCATGTCTGGGTTGGTCATCATCTGGCGCATGAATGGCGACTGGATGATCTCTCGTGCGTTGGGGACATTGCGCAGGTGTGGGTTGCTCTGGATCATGTAGTTGATGAAGTCGGGGTTGTCGAGGGCGGCGTTCATGGTCTGGAGCATGGAGGGATCGGAGAGCATCTGGGCCAACTGGTCGTCGGATGGCGGGGCACCCATCTGGAAACGTAAGATTAGTTTATGCCACGCAAGACTCGCCGCGGCATTGAAAGAAACTTACTCCTCCGTCAGCTCCAAATGTCTCGCGACTGGGCAGGTTGATGTGTCCGGCGTATCTGGCTCCGGTGAGGCCAGCGAGAATGTTGTTGGCAGTGCCAGCGGCCATGTTGGAGGGCACGGCGGGTGCGGCAGGCGTGGAGGCTGAAGTTGCGGGCTGAGGAGCTGGGTTACTGGCTGCGCTCTTGACCATGTGGATGGTGTTGTTGGGCTTGATCTTGTAGGTGGCGAGTGTGTCGTCGTTCTTCATTACGCGACCAGAGTAGATAAGACGCTGGCGCTCGACGGGAACGTTCTCGAAATCTTCGCCGGCCAATTTGGTCTTGAGGTCGAGTACGGAGGCAGATTCAGACATGGTGATGGTATGGTTGCTATCCTGGCCCGTCTTCACCTTGAAGGTGACCTGGGCATCGGCGGTGCCCTCTGCGTTGTCGGCCATGACCTTGTGTGTTGCGGGTGCGTGGGCGCGATCGGTGGAGGTGCTTGATGGTCAGGCAATGTCTGAATGTGTACCTAGTATATGACGACGACTTGGTCTCTGGAAGGCCTGAGAATGGCTCGGAGGGGTGGAAGAGAGGCAAAGGCGTGAGATGTTGGAGGGAAAGAGAGAAGTTGTTGGGAGTATGTGGACAAGACGACCGAATGCGAGGTCAAGCTGGGGCAAGGTGCAAGTCAGTTAGGCAGGTGAAATATGGTAGGTGGCCGGAGGGGAGTTGCGCAGGATTGGGTGTTTGTGTCGTTGGTGACGGTTGGTGGGCTCCAATGATGGCGTCGGGGAGGGGCAGCAGCCAGCAGCGAGCAGCAGCACTGGAGGCAATGAGGTGCCCAGAAGCAAGCATGGGCCAGTTCTACGAGGTGCGGCGGAACGGATCCAATACCTTACGCAATGGAGCGGGAGAGTGAGATAACTACGGTTAGCGCTGGGTCGTGCCCACTGAGGGTGCTGTCGCTGTGCGGCGTCGGGTACTTTGGGTGGTGACTCGTAGTCCTGGCAGCCTGGACTCAAGGATGGTAGTCCATAGGTAGGTGGGTTGGTAACATCAACAGCAGGTGCCTCACGAACGGAACAGGTCGAATTAGGCACCTTTTGCCGCAGCGCGCTAACGCTGGTGGGAGCGGAAGGTAAGGTATAGGTAAGAACAGGGGGGTTCTCAGCTAAGGTCACTTTTGACAGCGCTGTCAAAATCGACGTCTCTGCTGGCGGCGCACTCCCTCCCATTTGATGCAAGACAATCCGCAGGAACTACATTGGCACTCTATTATCTCTGACATCAAGGGCAGAGAAATGATTCTATTGGGGAAGAAATCAATGCTCGCCCGCGATGATCGACCAAGCCGCATTGTCAGGATTAGGTGTAGGTATCGAATTCCACGTCCCTCAATTCCCATGCGCCAAACGACCGCCCCCCCTGGACGACCCCAACTTAAAAGTAGCCTCAGGTCATAACCACAGTCATCTCTTCCATTGTCATCCATTGACTTCTACCTCTAATTCACGATGGCGATACAACTCGGCAACAAATAGCGCGCGAGCAATCCGGCGTCCATCCACAAGGGCCTGGAGCTGCAATACCTAATCTCTTGAAGGGAAAGTTTGTGGCCAATTTTGGAAGTGTGCCTACCCTCGAGTAACGGAGCAGCATCATTCAATCAAACATTCACAACAAGTGTGAAGTCGTCGATGACAATTCAGGTAGTCCATAGGTACGGAGTATTGATAGCGCAGATACAAATACGACCTCAATCAGATGCACAGAGCATAAGCAACTACCTATTGCAACCAATTCATCTACTAGGGCCATCCACACGCCACATTTGTAGCCAAAATGACGACAACAGCTGATGCCGGTGGGCTGGATCCCTCTGATTACCTAGATACCTGCCAAAGAACCTCCAATCTGCATCTAGATCTTGTACTCTAAGGCAGGCGCTTGGGCCATGTCTCTCTCTGCTGCTCACCGAGCCTCCTCCACATCCCCGGAATTCGCACACCGAAAAGGCCCCAAATCTAGCCAACGAGGGGCCACAGACGTTGCCTCGGCTCCCCCCCTCCTCGGCGTCTCCAAGACCCCCGGTCCGGGGTAACAACGTGTAGAGAAGCTCGAGACTAACGACAGCTCATATCCTCAATCTTAGGTTCATACAAACTCACAATATTCATCTTCCATCTCATCCGGCTCTTACGGTAGTTTCTTACGTATAACTTCGGCCAGCTTTACCTCACATCTGGCCTTCAATCTATCTCAAATCAAGTACCTTACCTACGAAGAGTACCAGACATCACAGTAGAATCCATCTTCACAATGCGCGGCATTCAGATTAAGGAATATGTCAAGGTGAGCTTCATCACCATTGAGGAACGATTCTCCCTAAACGAGCACTCGATCTAACGATTCAAAAGTCTCCCAAGGAGCTCCGCGTGACGGATCTCCCAGACCCCGTCCCCAAGAAGGATGACGAGTACCTCATCCAAGTCCACGCCACGGCCGCCAACTTTTTTGACATTCTCCAAATCCAAGGGAAATACCAGACTCAACCTCGTACGGTCCTCCCCTTCCTCTCCTTCAGAGACTTGGCACACATACATTTCAGTATACCATACTAAACCGAAATACCCTAGCCTTCCCCTGGACATCGGGCTGCGAATTCGCAGGCATCGTCCTCAAAGCCCCCTCGTCAAACGCAAAATACCCCGTCGGCGCCCGCGTCTTCGGCGCAACCCAAGGCGCCTTCGCCTCCCAGTGCGTCGCCCGCGAAAAGGAGCTCCTCCCCATCCCAGACGGCTGGTCCTACACCGAGGCCGCCGGCCTCTTCATCACCGCGCCCACCTCCTACGGCGCCCTCGTCGTTCGCGCCGGCGTGAAGCCCGGCGACATCGTCCTCGTCCACGCCGCGGCCGGCGGCGTCGGCCTCGCCGCCGTGCAAGTCGCAAAGGCCTTCGGCGCCACCGTCATCGCCACGGCCTCGACGCCGCGCAAGCTCGACGTCGCCAAAGCCTTCGGCGCGGACCACGTCGTCGACTACCGCGAGCCCGACTGGCCCGCCAAAGTGAAAGCGCTCACGCCCGGCGGGCGCGGCGTCGACATCGTCTACGACCCCGTCGGCATGGTCGACGCCAGCACCAAATGCACGGCCTGGAACGGCCGCATCCTCATCATTGGCTTCGCGGCCGGCAAGATTGAAAAGGTGGCCATGAACAAGGTGCTCCTCAAGAACATCAGCCTCGTCGGCATCTTTTGGGGCCAGTACGCCGTCAAGGAGAAGGAGACCGTCGTCGAGGTGTGGAAGGGCATCATGAAGCTCGTCGCCGAGGGGAAGCTACGCGGCACCGAGTTCACCGACGAGGAGTTTGTCGGGCTCGAGCGCATCCCAGACGCGCTTATTGCTCTGGGCAGCCGGGGGACCTGGGGTAAGGTCGTTGTCAAGATCCCGCAGGACGGTCAGAGCAAGTTGTAGAACCATGTTAGTGCGAGAGTGTCGTTTTCTTGGCGATTAGAGCGAGGCATATCTAGATCGACTTTTGAATCAGTCACTTATGCCACCAATGTAAGTCTTCAATAAACACTAGTTCTCTTTGGACGGGTGCTTCCGCCATTAGGCGTCAAGTCGTTCTTGTATTCACATTTGCCATTGCCAGGAGATACGCCATGAGCACCTCTCTTTCTCTATCTGACAGCCTCGTCATGAAATCATAATCATTCCCATGTTTTCCCGTCTATTACAGCTCAATCCCGACGAACAGCTCACGCAGACGCTGCTGCTGCAGCACTGGCTCCCTAAGCGCCAGTGATCTGCGTCAACGACCAAAACTTCTGCAAAACGTCCTTGTCCACATTGGCAGCCCACTCCTGCTCAAACTGCTGTTCTCCACCGGAGCGTTGGACGATGTCCTGCAGCCTCTCCTTGACGAATCTCATGGCGTTGATCGTGTGGACGGGATCCTTGGCGCCAAACTCCGTCTCCTTGATGCTCTTGGGTGTATCGTAATCCGTGGGCTCGAGTTCGCCCCAAATGAGCGAGTCGGTGCCGTCCGTCGTACCGTCCTGGAGCTCGGCAATGGTGCCAACCCACAGCGTGAAATAGTCTTGCAACTTGCTCAGTGTGAGGTTCTGCATGGGCTGCGAGAGCTCCATAAGGCGCGCCAGGGCCAGGAGGGACAGCTTCTGCCTAGGAAGATGGTCCAGCCCGTCGAGGTGAGAGAACCACTCGCCGCTGAGCCAGGCCCAAACCTGTTCTAAAGGCCCGAAAGATGTGAGCATGGTGACGAAGAGTGTCGGGTCGGCGATAAGGAGTCGTGAGAGAATTGCAAAGTAGTCGCGTTCTGTTATCGTGTTGAGCTTGCTGACCTTCCTGTTCGGTCCGGTCGTCTGGTGTGCCTCCCAAGCATCGTGGAGAGCCTCCATAATCTTCTTCAAGAAACCAAGTTCGAGAAGATCCTGCATAATCACCTGGGTTCCGCCGAGCTCGGAGGCGGCCCGAACCAGATATTCAATGCACACGGTGCCGAGCCTGACCTGCTCTCGGCTTCTAGAGTCGAGAACGCCTGACAGAGCGACCAAGAATGGACGCCGCAGTCTATCTTCCATGACAGCTTGTGTGCCAAGGAGAATGTAGGACTCAACCACGGACAACGCCTGCGCAGCGGTCTCTGTTTGATACTCCAGCAGGGGAAGTGATAATTCCGCGATGCTCATAATATCTGCGGATAAGGGCGGGTTGCTCTGCATGAGAACAGAGTTCCATAGCTCCAATGCCTCGTCGATCAGGTACGTGTGCAGGTCGGAGCCCGGTTTGGCTGCTTCTGAGAGCAACGGGACCATCAGGTGATGATACCTCTGAGAGTCGCTGCCCATGGACATAACCAGCGCGGCAAAGATGGCGATGATGGCCTGTTTAATCATGTACTCCTCCGTTCCAGAGTTTTCCCAAATGCTCGGTAGGCTTGACATGATAAAGTCTGCGAACTGAGAGACGTAATTCTCTAGTCTCGTGACCAAGATACGCATGGACTCCAGCACGGCGAGCTTGGTCTCGTCCACGTCAACATTTTGAATGAGCTGAAGTAGCTCATTAAGCACATCGGCTGCGTAGGGGAGGAAAGCCTCTGCGCTGAAGGCAAGCTCGTCTACGATCCACCGCAGCTGACGCGCGGCTGTGATTCTGACGACAATGTCGTTGTTCGGGTCCGCGGGGTTGAGAAAGTGACGGAACATTTCGTAGATGAGTGGTCTACTGTTGTCGGCAATCTTGACCGTAACCCATTGGCTGACCATGATTGCGATGCGTCTGCGGAGAACCTTATACAAGGGCCCTTGTTGCTGCGCATCTTGAAGAACAGTCGAGACCAGGAGACTATCGAAATCGAACGCGTTCATGACGTTAGGTGCAGCCAAACCCATAGCCGTATACACTGCTTCCTTTGTAGCGATATCTGACTGTGAGTTTGACGCGGTTTGGAAGTAAGAAAGCAGAGGTGGTATCATGAGATCCTTGAAGTTGACAAGCAAATCAAGGAAGAGCTTCTCAGCGCAAGGGCGGACTTCCCATTCGTAGGCGTTACCCTCACTCTGTTCCTGTTGTTCCCACTCCTCGGGGTCTTCCTCCCATGCATCGAGATCTGCCTTCCGGAAGACGAAGAGATGTGTGATGATGATATTCGCCATCTGGACCACGAAATCATCCTTGAGAAGCTCTTGTTTGATGAGCGCAACAGCATCATTCTCGTCCTTCTTAGCTTCCGCACTCCGGAATTTGAACGTCTGCTTGGGATAAAATGCAATTCTCAAGCATGCTCTCATCAGCAGCAGGCCCCTCAGGGCCAGTCTTTCCAGCAAGGGTCCCTCGACTTTTGACTTTGATTCTGATGGGCCCGAATCACCGGAAGACTGCCGGATGCCACCTGACTTTTCGAAAACTTCGGCAAACTTCGCGACGAGATCCCAGTAGGCGTGGACCAAGGGTAAAGAATTTGGTAAAACGGCGAAACTGGCGGGATGCGCCTCGGACATGTCGATATGCAGCTTTGTGAACTGCAGGAGGTGCTTTCCTACAGTATCTTGATAGGGTGCCGGGACTGGCGAGTCGTGGCTCACAAAGCCAAGAAATTGGCCAAAGTGATTTTGAGACACGGTCCAAAACTGTTCGACCGTCTTGTCGTTATGAGGAGCCTCATAGCCTACCACGAGCAACCGTCGAATGGTTTTAAGAGAGATGAGACTGTTGAGCATAGCCGCATCGGCCGTATCCTCCTCGCCACGACCACTCGTGAGATAATCAACCCAGACTGCTGACTTTTCGGTGTAAATCTCTCCCAGCAAGTACACCATTTCGGGGGTGACAGACTGGAGGGCGGTTTGGGATCTTCTGAGGCGAGCGGTGCCCAGCTCCTTCACAACGCGAAGGAGGATCTGGAGAGAACCATAAAGATGCTGCTGGTTGCCGTTCTTTGAGGACCTGACCAAGCCGATAATTTGCGAGAGTGCTTCCGGCCAGTGCTGCGGGTAGTCAATCCTAATGACTTTGGCGGTGACGAGGGAGTTGTGCAGCGACAGTCCTGTCTCCTCCTCTTCGAGCGTGCCCTGGAACAAGCGTTGCCGGACGACATTCTTCTCTTCCGGGTCCAGACCACCTTTGACGTGGGGGAGCAGGCGCCAGTATTTGTCGATGCCGTTCTTAAGCTGAATGACGGCTAGGAATCGAAGCTCGTGAGGAAGGGTTTTATCGAGAAAAACGGTCTAGGGATAGCGCGTCGGTGAGTTACTTGATCATATCGTACACAAAGGGCGGATTTACATACCTGAAGGGAAGAGAAGTATCCCTTCTCCGTTTCCCATGATGTCAGCTGTTGCCCAGCGGCCTGTCTGCGCGCATAGTCGGCCGAAGTCGCGGATTCGAGAACGCGGCAGAGCTCCTGCAGGCTGAGGGGGTTGGCATCGCCGGGCACCTCGATCGCGAAGCTCATGTTGTGGTCTTCCTGGTGAGCGACCAAGGTGTCGATGCCACAGTCGTTTCGGTCCCAAGGAGTTTCGGGTTGGTGTTGACGAGAGGTTGAAGTCTCGTATTCGAGAAGGCGGCGTGAAGTACGAAGAAGCGGTTGGAAATTTAGACCCAGGCCCTCTTATCGCTGTGGCGGGGCACTGTTGTAGAGGGCGGTCCATCGCGGGGTAGTGGGGCGTTTGAGGAGCATGGGCGCTGTTCGCTGTTGGAAAGCGCAGGATGTCACTCCAAGCGCCCTGAGAAACTCTCCCGTCCTGACGACACACCTTACAAGGCGAAATAAGGTTACCTGTACAATGGCATTCCACAGGGCCAAGAGAAGAAGCATGTGCTTCCAGCAATGCAGCAGCATTCATACAACGAACGTTTGCCTTCAATGTGTGCCACAAGCTTTGCTTCGACTGTCACGTCAGTTAAAAATTTCCTCTGTCTATGGTCAGGCGAAATTGATTCTTAGGCGGAGACAAAGATGAGAAACCATATCATTGACGCAGGGATATCTAAGCGCTGTAGAAACCAAACAGGAAAATCAAGCCTTCCTCGAATCATCCGATGACTACCAATCATTTTTGATCCTCTTCCTAATGCATAGCTGGGCCTCTGGAGAGAACATCCTAAAGAGACAACCATGCGCCTAGCTCATCATCCCACTGCTATCATCATCTCACAATCCCATGTTCATGATTCCGGTGCTCCAGTTGAACATCTCCTCCACTGTTCTTGGCTCAGGAAATGAAAACATGCCAGGATCTGGGGCCACCGCAGGCGTTGACATGTCAGTGATGAAAGCATCCATGCATGAGTTTAGCTGAGTGACGCTGTCACGATTGTTGGTCACATTAAGCTCTCTCAACACTTCGCTAACTTCATTGCCAATGCTTCTTGCGATGGGCCACATCTCACCGGCAACCTTGAGTACGCCGAGCAGGAGATCAAGCTTCTCACGCAGAGCTGGTGAATCTGATCCGCCATACATTCTCGCATCGAGTAGTGCGAGAGCGGCCCTTCGCAACCCGATGATGCATGCAGGGCTGTATCGGGCCGGTGGAAGCGAGAAGTTGAAGAGACCGATTGTCGACAGGCCTGCTTGTAGGGCGGTTGAGCATTCGAGCCATGGATAAGTCGAGCTGGAGCATCGCGGCATCCGAGGTAAGGTCATGTCGCGCGCTTTGAAGAGCGGGCCAAGCGTGAGCAGGTCCCGGATCCCAAATCCCGACGCTTCCATGGGTAGTTGCATCTTGATCCTCAGGCTATCTTTCGATTAGTATTATGGAGCCTTAGACTACTTTATGGATGAAGCATACTCACCTATACGCGTAGGCCATCGCGTGAAACAGAACCATGTCAACTGCACCCCCCGAGTCCACCAACTGTTGTTTCCATTTAGGTAGGTTGATGAGCCAACTGACCAATCTGGAGTCGGCTCTATCGATGGTATTAGACAATAGTCCTGGTGGCAGTGTTGGCATGGGGAGTATCAACTCCGTGCTCAACCGGCACAGATCAATGAGATACGTCCACGACGAATGGCTCGTTTCATCCATAGGATCTCTTGCGTTGTACTTCTTAAGGGACAACGGTTGTGGAATCTCCTGGTTTTTGTTAGTACCAACATCAGATTGGCGGTAATAGTGACTTACCCCTGACTGATATTCCCATTCTTCACATGGAAGTTCAGTCGTTGCGACAACGCCGGACAACATGAAAGCGGGCGAGTCCTCGCGCATCGCTCGCATGTTGCCTTGCCAGTAAAGCGCCCAGTAGGTCCTTCGTGAGCTCTCTGCAACGAAAGGATCACCTGCAGCATCTGCAAACGACTTGTCTTGCATGCCGAGATCGAGAGCCATCTGAGTTGCAGCGTCCATCCACCCCGCACTCAAGTCCAATCGTCCCTCGCCAAAAGCAGCAACACTGAGAACGAGGAGACCCTGTACAGTCCAGCAAGTCATAGGCAAGCTGCCACTTGCGAGACTGAATGCTTTCTCTCGAAGCTCCTCTGATGAGACAGCATTTGAGAAGAGTGATCCCACGTACGTGATACAGCTTGTGAGGAAATGGAAAGGCTCAGGGTCTGACCGAATACGACTCAGGAGCTGGTTCCTGGGCAGGAGCCACGGATGGGTATCGTGAAAGTTGGTGAAGTAAAGATCGAAGAGCAGCGAAGTCGGTGATGCGGTGTTCAAGTCAGGGAGATGAGAGCTCCTGGCCAGAGACCATCCACAGGGTAGCTTGTCGACTACGTGAATGGGAATATCGAAGCTCGCCACCTCGGGAGATGGGAAAGAGACTGGCGTGTCCGGCGAGGCTGAAGGAGGTGCGATAGGATCGTTGATGAGACTGCGTTTCTTGGCATCCCGAATACCTCGGCGAGACTTTGCGTAGTAGCAGGTCTTCTCCTCCAAGCGGCATCTTAGGCAGGTTGGTAAGGCCGAGTCACACTTGACGTGCTTTGATCGACAGGGCACACAGGCGAGAGATGCTCTAATGGTGGCTTTTGATTTGGCGGCCCCAGCACGTTGCTGCGTATCTCCCGGGCTATTGGCTTCCCTTGGGCTGGTGTTTGGCGTGAGCTCCATCGTGAACTACAGTGAGCTTAGTTTGACGTCGTGATTAGTTGTGAAGGGGAATCTGATCTAGTACATATGCCAGATTGCTTCTCTGTGTTCGGATCGTCCAAGGCCAAAGGAGATGCTGCTGGTGTTTATGTAAATCTTTGCCTTGACAACTGACGATGGACGAACTCTTAACCGTCTCTGCCCCTGTCGGTAGACTGGATGCCTCAATGTCACGTTCACATCTTGACCAGCCCAATTTGGGCATGCAAGACATCGACCGGGGAAGGAAATGGGTGAAGAGAGATGACATAACAGAAAAGCGTTCCGTAGTTCTCAATACGCGTTGGTTGTTCGGGCCGCCCGCCACTTTGCTATGCTCCGAGCCTCTTCGGACACTGTTTCTGGAGCTGGAACCACAAAAAAGCGCGGTGAGAGAGTGACTCTGAAGCGACAAGTGAAAATAGAAGCATCTTGGTAAGCACCATTGTGAGAAGCTAGGTATGGGCCAGGTTGCGTCGAAGCCGTGTTGAGCCACGCCTGCGTCCCGGTCGATTGGGCAGAGGATGCTTAGGGTGTACACTTTTTCCGAATTAGGAATGCCTGCATGCAGGTATACGGTTCCTAGCAAGCCCGCTGCACGATGTCTAGTCTGAGCCTCCCGCTCTACCCGTTTGTCGAACCAAGAACCAGTGTTTTCAGTTGTCTCGATATTGGATCCGGCCAGACATAGACTCTCATTGCGTCTCCAGCAGGTTTGAGTAGGCAGCGAGATTTGATGGAAGCTTCTAGTGCAAGGCACGAGGTTGGTGTTCTACTCCTTACTCTTCCGGCCTACAATGCTAACAGAAAGATAGATCTCGTCACGATAGGCGAGCTCCTCGTTGACTGTAGCCCTTGATCAACGAGTTTTGAAAGATTGTGTAGTACGATCAAGTCAAACCCGGGGCGCTGTGTATACTGAGGTTGAACGGGCTTTTAGTTACTGGGTAACGTTACCATCGACGATGTGATGTGGTGAAGGCTTCATACACGTCCAAATCACGATGTGCGTCATTGGCCTCGCTCAACTCCGGCGGTCAGATTAGCTCCGTGTGAGAAAGATGGGCTTGAAGATGTCAATTCAGGGTAATCGCAAAACGCTTGAGACAACAGGGCAAGAATTTGACAAGCGAAGAATGCCCTGAGAATGCCTTGCAAGCCTCTCAGACTCGTAAGGCCGATAAGATGGGTTGTTGGCGCTAGTCGACATAAGCTTGACCTGATGCTGCAGCTGTGGTGGCCGGACGTTGGCGAATCGAATGCAAGATTTCCTTCTTCTCTCCTTCTTGTCACACCCCAAAGCTGCGGAGATGTCTGCGGGTAAGGCAAGGGTCACCTCCCCGTCTCAGCACAGTGCTATAGAATGGCGCATGGTGTGTCGGGTATGTCCGTTCGTGTTCATGTCGACAACCTTCAGTGATGGCAGAGATGCGGAGACGACGACTATCTGCGGTAGTATTCCGTCCCTATGGCGGCAAGGGTTGGTGATTGAGGCACGTTCATCTCAAGCACTCAACCTCCTCCCGCTCTGCGGTTGTACAGGGGTCCAGGTTGGTGACACACCGTCTGATGTAAGCCTGTCTTCTGCATCGCATCTGCAGAGCAATCAGTAAACAGCATGACAGAGATGTATATTGGTTTGTAAGACCACAGCCAACTTGCTCAAAGCAGAGTTGCTTTGGTAAGGTAATGAATAAGAGTCGGAGGCTCAGGAAGCTGTGGTCGTACAAGAAGGACAGGGGACCTGACCTCCACTGGAATGGCACGGGCGCCCCGGGACGTCAGACTCCAGCCTCCGGCCGATTCTCGGCTCAGGCCACTCCCGCCCAGGTCATGGCTCAGGTAATAATCCCCAGATCATCCGCGGCAGGCAGGGGCCTCGGGGACTTGAGCAGCGCAACGGGTTTGGTGGCAGCCGATGCAGGTGAGCAGAGCGGACCTCGGCTTTTCCTCCACTTACCACTCTTGAGGTGCCAGAACTACCGTCACCTTATCATCAGCCACTTGATGGAAGAGGTGTGATGCATCGCAATTTGCACCTCACCACCACCTTTCACCACCCAATGCTGCCCAGATGACATCGACCAATTTTGCGCAAGCGCAGCAGCGCCTGGCAGCACGACGACAAGCCCGCGAAGCCGATAACGCAGCACGACTCGCCGCCCAGCGTGATTCCTCACGCGCCCGCGCCCAGATTGATCGTTTGCCCTTCCCTTTCAGCCGCCTCGGTTCAGCATGGGACTCGATTTCAACGCAAGACGGCACTCGCCCCGCCTTCAGGGTCGGGCAAGTCGACGCAGAATTACTCGATGACGAACTATTGGAGTTGCTTCGCGGCCAGGTTGGCGATGCACTCAAGTACTTCGCTGGCGGCCACCTGAAAGACGACTGGTCTGCTGAGATCCTTCTTGCACTTCGCGCCATCCTATTCAAGTTGACAGTCTGGGACAACGACGCGACATATGGAGCAGCTCTACAGAACCTGAAATACACGGATGCGCGCAAAGATGGATCCGTCCTCGTTGCGCCATCTAGGTGGCAGAAGTCACTATACGGATTGGCCACCGTATTTGGGAAATACGGCTGGGAGAAGTGGGAGAACTGGTTGCTCGAGAACGACGATGGTTACAGCGATGAGCCCAACCCTCGACTCCAAAGATTGTCGCGGCTGACGTCTCGGATAACGACGCTCCACGCTGGAGCAGCCTTCGTTTCGTTTCTCGTCTTTCTACTGCAGGGAAGATATCGCACCCTTCTCGATAGAGTCTTACGAATGCGCCTGGCTCCACCAACCAGTCAGGTGAGCCGAGAGGTCTCTTTTGAGTACCTCAACCGACAACTTGTTTGGCACGCTTTCACGGAGTTTCTGCTATTCATATTGCCGCTTGTTGGCATCAACCGGTGGAGGAGGTGGATTTCAAGGACATGGCGCAAGACGAAAGAGATCATCACCACAAAGGGAGACGAAGATAAGTCGGCCAATGGTGAACTGGGCTTTTTGCCCGAACGCACATGTGCCATATGCTACCAGGATCAGAACGCCCTTGCGAGTACAGAGACCGAGATCATGGCAGCGGCCGCATCAAGTGGTGTTATCGGCTCATCCCAAACCGATATCACCAATCCTTACGAGACCATCCCTTGCGGCTGTATCTATTGCTTTGTCTGCATCGCAACGCGACTAGAGCGCGAAGAAGGTGAAGGCTGGACGTGTCTCAAGTGTGGCGAGCTCGTCAAAGAGTGCAAGCCATGGAGCGGCGACGTTTTAGAGCCACCAAAGAAGTCACCAACTGCCAAAGTTGTGGCCTTTCTAGATGACGCCAGGGATTCCCAGAGTGGAATTGGCACGGAGGGCAACGCTGATAGCGAAGAGGGCGAGGGCATGAATAGCACCGAGTTTATTGATGTTTCTCAGGATAAAGACTATTCTGACGATACGGATACTGGCGACTCAGAAGGGTTCGAGGAGACAATGGACCAGGACGAGTAAAAAGGCTACAAATAATCACATTGTACACTATTGCACGAATTAGCACCGGCATCATGAGGTCTTCGTCTTTTTAGGCAGCGTCTTCATCTGAAGACAGCACAAGCAAGCGATCATCAATACGCATACGCAAGGAGTTGCTCAGTCCTTAGAGACATGGATGGATATGCGGTAGTAGCCCAACCTCTAGGAAGTCACGAATGCAAAGCTTTATCGTCTTATCATCTTGACATCGCATTACAAGCTCATTTCCCCTGTTCCGTTTGGTATGCGAATGATTGATGCATCCGTCCTCTTACGCCATCAGTCTGGGGCCGGGGGCACATCGGGAGGCAGAACGTGGCCGAAGCCCCCACTGCCAACGCACTCCATGTTCCGCCCAATACGTGCTAGCGCCCGCTGTACAAGGACGTTGGATCCGCCATGCCCACCGAGATTCCAGGGACCGTCCCAGGCACATGGCGGCCTTAGCGTCATAAGCGCACTGAAATCCCAATTTACACAGGACTGTTGTCCGGGATTCCTTCAACTCACACCACGAGCTTCCGACGCCCACACGACGAATTCGAGATCCGCCCTTGTGCATTTGTGTAATTCAGCGCAGCGTCTCGAGACAACAACGTGTTAGACGAGTTTACAACTGCTTTTCTCCAAAGAACATAGAAATCGCATCGAAACAAAGTTGGAAATCAGAGAAGGAAAAGGCACATGACGAGACTTTTCCCCAAACCGAAGAAACAAAACAACAACAACAAGACACCCCAAATGTCGCAAAGATAGAAGACCTACCCACCGAACCTCACAAATCCAAGCGATGCCGAGCTTCTTCCAATTCACCCAAGGCAACGAGTCCCGCACCCGCCTCACGAGCGACGCCTCCCCTCTGCTGGGCCGATTCCGCGCCGTACCCCCGCGATCCGACGTCCCCGGCCGCCGTCGCCGCTCCAGCACCCTCGGCTTGTTCACGTCTAATAACCGTGGAAGCGTATACGTCGGCTACGGCGCGCTTCTGTCCGCCTCGGGGCTCGAGAACCACGATAATGATGCTGCAAGGGGCGGCGACTGGGAGGAGTTGGGCGCGTGGGCGCGCACCTGGCGCAAGATCTCCAACGTCTGGGTCGAACCGAAGCAGAGTGCCGTCAAGGGCGTTGTCGACGTGTGGTGGAGTCGGTATGGAGTCTTGGTGCTGATGCCTGCTGTTCTGGTATGTTTGGCAATTCCTTTGACAATAGGACGGACGGATCCAAGAGTTGGCGAGTGATTGGGACTAACACGGGAGGGAAACCTAGGCTATTGCATGGTGCGCGATACCGTTCCCAAAGTACTCCTTTCCCGGTGAGGATGACGATGATCGAAGTGATCCCCTGCCAGGGTCTGGGCGTAAGATACCCGGCCACGGAGAAGCAAGAGTACAGATCAACTTTTGGTTCTTCCTCTTCGTGTACTACGGTTTCTATAACGTCACGGCTCTGATATGGATCACCAAGGTCTTCAACTTGTACAGCTTGAATTGGTACGTCAGACCCCCTTTCACGCTTCTCAGAAGCACCTAGATATGCTTACACTCAAATGCAGGTGGCCGCAATCCTTTGGATTTCCAGTTACGATGTCCATCATCGCCCTCATCTCGATAGCAGTCCCAATCCCCATCTACCTGGTCCCAGAGACGCGCTTCCTCACCGCCCACAACACGGCCTGGATTTCCTGGACCTTCATCGTCATGGCCATGCCAGTTGCCATTGCCTTTTGCATCCTCCTTACCTCCCAGCGTCACCTGAAGCTGCGCCAGTCGCTCTCCGAGACCCAACGCATCTTCACCACGTCCTGGTGGACAGGCGAGGCCGAAGGGAGCATCCCCCGTCGCGATAACCGCCGGCGGCCGAATCTTAGCAGCGACGCCTTTGACCCGGACGCGACGCTCCAGGTCGCCGCTGAGCAGTCTCGCAATATGGGCGGCGTCAGGATGCGCCGTAGGTGGCTGCCCGCCAGCTTCGTCCGCTTCATCTGGTTCTGCTTGGCCCTTTTTGTCGGGCTCATGGCGTACGTCATAGGAGAGGCCTACGCCGAGATATACCTGCGCACGCTGCCTCATAACAACTTGGAGACCATCGTGTACGTCTACAGCTGGATCATCACGGTGCACCTACTTGATGCCCTCACGGGCTGGCTTCTGGGTATCCGCGAGGGCGAGCGAGTGGGAAGCTACCCCCTGAGCTGGGTCTTCAAACTGTGAGTACTCCTTGTCTAGGCAAGAGTGATTCAACATCAAATTGACACCAACCATCCAGATACTTCATGCTCACCTACCAAACCTACGTCCGCGCTCTATACGCGCGCCTCCGCTCCCCGGAGCAATTCATCTACCTCCAGATCCTCTCCAGCAGCACCCTCATCATCCTCACCCCGCTCACAATGTCCCGCCTCTACCACCGCATCACCGTCGCCCTCAACTTCACAGACCAGTCCTACGCCTCGTACCAGAAAGTGTGTACTCGCAACGTCTTCATCCGCTTCCTCGCCGAGAACGTCTCCATGGCCGCCTTCCTCGGCAGCGTGCTGGTCCTGCACTTTGGGCCCAACAAGGACGTCTATCCGTACTTTGCCTTTGACGGGAAAGTGACGGGCGACGACTACGACTACGATTTCCGGCTCACCTTTTGGGCCTCGTCCGTCACCTGGGCCTGCGAGCTCGTCGCCTCCGTCATCGTACGCGGGCTCATCAGCTGGTTCTTCGGTGTCGATGTCGGTATGGAGGGCAAGCTCGACCTCGCCGTGTGGCCGGAGCTGCTCCCGACCAGCGTGGCTGTCATGTTCCACGTCCTGCAGAACATGTTCTTCTCCATTATCCGGCTACAATTCCACTGATGGAAAGGAAGCGCAACAATCAGACGCAAACGCCCTCAACCCCAAGCTCGGCTGGTTCCCGCTGGCTCTCTCTTCGGCTCCTACATGCCGATATCGCCCTATCTTATCACCATTACATCCAACCATCAAACTGTTTCCCCCATTGCAGAGGCGTTATCCGAACTCATTGAGCGCTTTCATTTCTTTCGGCAAGAGATTGCACTCTGTCCAGGGTGTGTAACACGGCATCCTGGGTTACTTTTTTCTTCTCTCTCAGCATCGAGCGATAACAACAATAGCCGGCGTACCACCTTTTCTTTCTTTCTTGGATGGATAACGAACAACTTTCTTTCTCTTTCGCATACCTTGGGCGTACATGTTGTTCTTTATTCTGTTCTCTTGCCGCGTCTGCTTCTTTGGCTATTGGTGCGGAAAGAACTAAGAAAGATACCCCCCTTCCTCGTCTCGTTTCCTCCCTCTATTTTCATACCCCATGCTCGCTCACGTTATTCCAAGTTTCATTAGATTAGAGATACCACACTCATCAAGTCCCTTCCTTGGCATGATGGTTACGAAAGATCGGATATTAGTTTTCTTTTCTGGGGGTAGAAAGAGAGATTCAATGTTAATACGTAGAGATTAATGATCATCATGTTAGACGACTCAGCAATCATTGTTGGTAGCTTTATATGACGGCCTCCTTGGTAGATACATACGACCTGCAGGAAGACAAGAGGCGAACTAATAAGAGTGACAGTGACAGTCTGCTTATAGAGTAAACTAGATCCAGTGCAGAGTTGGAAAAAGAGAAAACGTGATACTGCCAAAGCCCTTGAGTAGCGCAGTCTGCTTCTTGTCTCCAAAGATCCTCATTTAATCGGCCATCTGGCAATCTCATTGGTGCCGTCAAAATCGAAATCGGCTACCTGCATGATGCCGTCCTACCACCACACTCCTCCGTCTTGGAGCCATGACACACGCGGTCGACACCCTCTTCACCCAGAGCATCGCGACTCGGTCAAGCTTTGGTGCGGCTCGCTCTGGCCACTCGTGGAAACTGAAGCCGCTCAACGGTCTCTGCAGAATCCCGACATTTTCCATGGAACCAGCGAGCTTCATTCCGGTTTTGGGTAGGGTCGGCCACAGCGGTAACCGTGGTTGCGTCTGCGAGACGACGACAATACCTGACAGGCAGAGAGAGAAAAAAAGCAAAGAAACACCATCAGCGCGCAGAATTGATCCACGGATAGCCGCTTTCCCCGGACGAGTTGGAATGGGGGCTGATTGCAGCCGACCAACAGCCATCAGAGATACCAATGCCACCTGGCACGAATAGGACATCGACCCGGATAGTCTCTGACTGCATCTTCCCTACAAAGATTTGAGCGACGTCAGCAAATAGTAACCCACAGTTGCATATTCTTCTCTTGGGCCTTTCCCTTCTTTCTTCAGATCACGGAGCCAATGATACCAGAGTCGGACAGTAGCGGTGAGGGATAGGTCGCTCGATGGTCGGCCATGAAAGACTGACTCATTTGCATCGACTACCCGCTAGCGGCGCCGGAGCTACGGCATCATCAAGCTTCTCAAGGCCAAACGGAAAGGGTAGGGGCCGTCAGTAAGGCATCCGGTTGTGAAAACCTGCTGCCGTGAGGTTGCGTCAACGGGTCCGTTTTCACCTGTGCCGGAGCGTTTTGGACGCCGCTAATGCACCCAATTTTGGTCGCCGCTGGCCCCGGGCATGTGAACCTTCCCGTCTCATGTTGCGGCTACGATAATCCCCGGCTCGTATGGAAGGAAGTGCTTCCACAGTTTGTTCCGGAGTCATAGTGTTGGGCTGTTGCAGGAAATTCCTGATGACTACCGGATGACCGAGAGAGCCTGTTATGTTTCGTTGGGAAAGGCAATTGTCCTTAGCATTCTACAGAGGCATATTAGTTCCAAAGAACCCGAGAAGAGACCGTTTGCCCGGCAAGGACACCACGGTACAGCGGCTGGCATCTCTGTCCGAGCCGCCCGATGAAATCGAGTTCCACTGTCCGTGGGGAGGCCGCGTCTCGTCCTTGGCTTGAACGGGGCCCGATGGCAAATCGATGACAAAAAAATATGTTGGTTTCGGCCACTCAGCAGAAGGGCCAGGGTAGGCACTGTTTAAAAGCGTTTGGCGGAATGGCTTCCGACCTGGGATGGGACGCTACATGTCTGTGCATGTACTATGATTATAGACAGTGATTCTCGTGTGTTATAAGGTAGTTTACCACTTGGTATCTATATCGGAATCGCATGGCTGTAGGACGTGTAGTGATGCGGTGGAGACAACGGCAGCAGCGGTCGCGATCCAGACTCAATCGACCAGGTACATCGTTCACCAGCTTTCCCAAGCTCCAGGCGAAATACGGACGAAGATCTTCGAAAGTTGACGGGAAACAGGATCGAAGCTCAGGTTCCAGACTGGGCCATCGGTGACATGCTAGGAATCGGAAAGGAAGGTTCCAGGATAACGGACGGCGGGGCGGAAATGATCGGATAAGATGGTCTCGAAACATTCGGACAGAATCTGATGGGGTTGCCAAGAAGATGGACCCGTCCATGCCAGGGCTGAGTCCTTCGTATGTCCTGGTAGAGGCAGATGTACACAGGTATGCGGATACTAAGGTTGGTACTATGCATTGGTTCACTGAGGTGCCGAGTCTCGTTTGGCAGAATTCGCGGGTGGTCAACATTGTGGTGTGGTAGTGGGATGAGTCGGCGGCTGCTTGGATCGCGGTATGCATTGGCGCGTGAGATCAACGGGATATCCCAAGTGATACGGCTCGTTTCCTGTCGAGAGCGCGGGGGCACATGTCGTTCACAGGGGATCTTTGAAGTGTGATTCGACGGCGACCCTGGTCTCGGCCGTGACTCAATGCGAAGTGATAGCAGGATGTTGCGGCGGCGGTTTGTCTGTCTCTCGGAACGTTTTGGCTCGATGGGAACAGTGAACGGGCGAGACCCTGCGACGTAGTGGGTGGGGTGGAAGCTGATAATTGACGGAATGGCACAGCGGTAGGACCCCATCGTTGCTGGTGGCCGAAGCTCATACATACGCAGTAAGGTGAGAGGACGCGGAACCATGTTGCCTGTCAGACAGGTACCGGACAAGTGGGCTGTGATATATAAGCCCTCAACAGAATCAAGTACGTTAAGTAAGTACAAGTACAAGCTGTGGGTGCAGATACAGCACTAAGGAGTACTCCTGAACATCTGCCGTAACAATTTGATCGTTCCGGTTTGGCTCAGGTTTGAGCATTGTTGGGCCTGAGCAAAGTGTTCTATCGAGGCCATGCCGTGAAGTGTCTCGATATGTGGAGGTTTTGTGATGGCTGCCGTACGTAGTACACTCCCTTGGCTGGAGAGGACGAAGCTAGGTTAGCAGTCCAAGGACGTGCTCTGTATGTACAGCCAAGGCACTGGGCCGACATTGTAGTGTCTGTACGCTATGATTGGCTTTGCAGAGAAGAGGAATAATGCATGGGCTGAATGCATCTAGAAGCAAAATAGGAGCAGGAATGGTATGTTCTACCTTAGAAAATGGGTGGAGTGGAGGGACAGCTGCCCGTAAGCCGCAGTTCGCCTCAAGCGGCCCGTTTAATTTGAGCTGGGGGCCGTTTGAAGGAGCAAGTTCGAAGAATCTTGTACATAGGCAAGAGTACCACCCATACCGACCTTACCTTTAGCAAAGGCTCCTCAGCAGTAACTACTTGCCTCGAGACCAAATGGAGCAGGAAAGAGCCCATGAGCCTCGAGGTACCTTAGTTACTTGGGTGGTTCCTGCTTGCCATGGATGAGGATAATCTTCCAGGTTGTCAGGCACGTCCCTACCTACCTACCTTACCTTAGATGCCTCGGGCGGAACATACCTAGGTAAGAACGTTCCTATGCAAGTCAACACTCCAGTATTGTTACCAAATATGTACTCTGCATTCCCTCTCTTTCCCCTACCAAAGTACTTGCTTCATAATCACTTGGTACCTCTTCCACTGTGTGCTCGAGCGAGCTTCTCGACCTCCTCTGCCACATCGACAGCTCATCTGCTCCACATCACCACATTCGTGCCTCTCCTATCATCCACCCTTGACCTGTTCACCCAAAGCACAATAATTTGGACGTTTGAAACGAGCTGAGATGTTTCCGGTATCATCGGGTCTTCAGGGCCCTAGTGCCTACCTACTTCAAGCTTCAGTCACTAACCTGGAAGGTAGCATGATCCACAGAAATCGGCACCAATGCTATTCTCGCTGACGGTATTGAGAACCACCGTCGCCGCAACTTCACCATGGCGCCTGTATGTGCAACCAAGCCGTTGACAGCCCTCCGGGTTGTTCAAAGTTCGAACAGCCTGCCGCGCCTGCTTTGCCTCGTGCTATCCGTACGGGACTGTACGGGTATTGCGGTGATGAAATAGCATGGCATGTTGGTACCACCTACACGCGCATGCAGGACTCTGCACCACATTCGCCATTCATCGCCGCGCTCCTCCTCATCGGTGTTGGACAGGGAAAAAAGACAAGGGCCCTGGTCCAAGGCTAAATGTCTTCCGGTTCTGGTACTTCGTCTCTTCAGAGCAAACCATATTCACAACCAAAGTTCATGTCGTCGACCTGCAGACTACCTAGACAGTTTTCTCTGCAGCGCTTGACGAAGCTACTCACCGAAAACTAGCTCACACCCTTCAGGGCCGTGACATGATATCTAGGTATGTGCATGACCGTTCTTGATGAGGGAAAGGGCTACGACAAGAAGGAGAAGACAAGGGATGCTGCTATCATTGATTCACGGCTCGGATGATAACGTGCCATGCAACATCCAGAGGCTTCCTGACGTTTGTGCTGGGCTGCCTGGCGAGGGTGAGACAGAGACAGCTTGTGTCATGGTCCCTTTCTCGGAGGTGGTGGCATAGTGGGGAACTGCTTCTTGCGCTCGTCCGTTCGTCCACGGCCCAAGGTCCCCTGCCTTGGGATATGGAGGGGTCGTTGCTGCTACGATGGAGGGGCAATCAATTCTGGCTGAAAGACATCCCACCTCCCACCTGCGCCGTTGCCGGCTTACCATTTGCTATTACAGCCAGATACGATATCGCGCGACCTGAGGGACGAGAAACAGCCCAGAAAGGAATCAAGTGTTTCCCAGCATCTGTTGGCCGCTCATCTGCGGAAACCACAGCACCTCTCTGGTGTATTCCCGAGTCAACATGAACTTGCTTGAGCAATATGTTTCAACACAATAGGCTTCCCAAGTTGGGCGGCAATGAAGAGACAGAGAAGGCATCAAAAGGCAGCGCTCGGAAGTCAGGAGAGACAAAGGAAAAGTAAAGATAATGAATGCTCGCCATCCTATCTAAGGCATATCCCGAAGCGCCTTAAATGAGCTTTTCCTATCAAGCCTTGGACTAGCTTGGCCATGTACCCTCATCGCTGTCATTTTCGTCGCGGACCACTCTTGGGCAAGTTGGAATCGACCTGCCCACTTCGCACCACACGTAGTGACACCCTACCCGTATCACAACTCTCCACTTCCTAATCGATGGCGCGTTCACACTCACACTCACTCTTACCACTCTCCGGAGTCTACGCTACCCAGTCGCTCTAGTAGATTTTTTCTTCCTTATTTTTCTCTTCTCGCCTCTGCTACCTCCAGACCCCTGGCCATACACAGTTGATACTCTGTACCTAAGGTATCTTATCACCTTCCTGCACGCCGTCTGCCAGCCTGCTTTCGTGATTTCATGCCTTGTCTTACTCTCCACCCCCGGCGAGCCGAGCTGGACTAGCCTGCCATTCTCTTTCCCACACTCTTTTCTCACACACCTCAGTTCAGTCCCGATGGGTACGAAGTATCTTACACACGCTGGCACACACGCACACCTCCTCACCCCTCCACGACCCCTCGGTCAAAATAAGGAACCGGTACCTAGTAACTCCGTTGTCTTAGCAGCTCCAATACAATCTCCACGTACCCTCAGCACCTTGTCTACCTTTGCGTGCTAGCCAACCTAACCTTACCGTTGTTTTTTACCACCTGCCACTTGTTCGTGTCCCACACCCCTCCTCTCTCGCTCACACTCAGTCTACTCTCCGGGATCCGACCCCAAAATTTTCTTCTGCCAACCTAGATACAGACAGACTCATATCATTGCTTTCCAACCCGCCCAGAAGACCTTCTTAACCCGCCTGTTCCTCCCCTCTCCTCTCTTCACAATGTCCTCCGAACAACTCCCCCTCTCAAACGACGCCTCTGCGGCTACAATCAACCCTTTGGCCGCACACCCCATCCACCCTCAAGATGCCCAGGGACGACAGCCCGCCGCCGCCTCCGCCGCCTCCCCCGAACTCGCCAGTGGGAAGGTGAAGCTCACGGGCGCTCTGCGTCACTTTGCTGATTTCCCTATCAAGGGAATCGACTTTGTCGACATCATGCCCCTCTTCCTCGACCCCACCGTTCACCAGACTCTCGGCGATGCCCTTGAGTTGCAGGTCAAGGAGGCTTTCCCGACCCTTCCCGACGTCATTGTCGGTCTCGACGCCCGTGGTTTCCTTTTTGGCCCCGGCATGGCCCTCCGTCTCGGCACCGGCTTCGCCCCGGTGCGCAAGCAGGGCAAGCTGCCCGGCCCGTGCGTTACCGCCGAGTACCAGAAGGAGTACGGCTCCGACTTCTTCCAGATGCAGCAGGATGCCATCAAGCCTGGCCAGAAGGTTCTGGTCGTCGATGACATTATTGCTACTGGTAAGCTACATACTCTGTGCTGAAATGCGCAACATTCCCCCGAGGCTAGATCGTACAGGTCCACTAACACGAAATAGGTGGTTCCGCAAAGGCTGCGGCCGACCTCATCAAGCAGCTCGGTGGCGAGATTGTCGGCTATCTCTTCATCCTAGAAATTCCCGGTCTGAACGGCCGTGAGAAGCTCGGCGACACCAAGACCGTCATCCTCCTCGAAGACGCATAAAGGACACTATGGGAGTGGACCGTATGGGCCTTTCATAGAAGCCCGATGATCAGCACATATCTTCGATGGGCGGGCTGTTGTCTCCGATTCAACTTGGCACGGCCTGAGCTCTCGAAAGTACATAGATACCTGTCGTGGGATGACAGGCTTTGATACCAACCAAAAGAGGTGTCAAGATCAACGAAAAGTGGTCTCTTTCCTTGGAATCTGATCTATTTCGATTTCCTTACACAAGGACACGCGCGAAGAGTGACATCGCGTCGGCGTTTTGGTTTACAAAAAGTTGGATGGCAAACTGATTGGAGAGATGAAAACACATAGACGATATGAGATGAAAAGACTCGGGTTTGAACCCGTAGTCGAATGGGCGCGTTCGCGTTCTTAACAACGCGAACGCCCTCAAATATAATGACGAGCAAACACCAGCATAAAACTTTCGCCAATGTGCCCATACCCAATGTCTGTGGTTTGAAGTCGCCGGTAGGTACTCTTGAAGGCTCACTCTCATCTAAATGCTTGATATGCATGTCTGAGACAAGCCCGCGGGGTCGTATAAGTCGTGTAAGTTGAGGTTGATTCGTCCGGATCAGGAGGCACGGTGAGTTTGTGCAGAAACACCTGCAAGCTAGGCTGAGAAGATGGGAGCAGCATCCATAGATACTTTGTGAGTCACATTGATATTACGCGAAATGCTTGAGATTCCGGGAATGACCTCAGTTCATTGCCAGTACCTGACCTACCTTAAATACTGAGCCGGCGACTTACTTAAGAAGCTCTTTCGGGTAAGTGACACCCGATTTCACTACAAGATCCTACATCTCTCTGGTAGCATTCACATTGACTTCCAGGCTGACGAAGTCTCCTTTTGAGACAGCGAGTCCCTTTGGCGATGCCCGTATGCGGACAGCAAGAGAAGCGGGGGCCCGATGAACCAGACCATTCCACGGATCGTCGACCCGGATCTACCAGCACAATACAACACAACCACTACGACATTGACAAGCTCCAACCAGCTCGCAGTTTAAGCAGCAAACAAAGAGGCGGGACGAAGGCGCCATCAGAGAGGGAAAAAAGGCGTGCTGATCCATGATGTCACAACCTGTCGACCGCAACCCCTCAATTGCTTCTAGGTACAGTCGTTCGGGATGACCCCACTGCATTTCTACACGCGAGAACGGCAGCTAAGCGGGCACGAGCGGGTAGTCTCCCAAGTTTCTAGACATCCATGTTGAGATCGTACTTGATTGTCACCGAATTGGGATAGCTGTCTTGTTGGGGGAGCCACGGCGTGCGTTGCACGGAACGTGGTTGCTAAGCGGTTTCCGCGTGGAATTAATAAGCTGTCTTGAACTCTCGTAGGAACGACGTCCAACGGAGGCGGGGTTGCTTGGAGTTTATAAGCTACGAGACGGGCAAACTTCTTCATATTTGTAGACTCTTTTTTTTGGCATCGTCTTACTGCCTTTCGACGTATTGAATCCTTTTCATCAGACACAGATATTGCTAAATTGACGAACCATCTAACATGACTGTCAAAATCTTTCTGTAAGCATGCCCATAGTGTCCATGCTCTCTCAAAAATCCCATAGCTAATGTATAAATCAGGACGGGCGTCACAGGTGCGAAGTGACCTTTATTTCCGACATGCAAATGTCCGAGGCCAACGATTTATTTGATCTTCTTGCTAACACAAATGGTCAGGCTACATTGGCGGCGACGCCTTTTACGCCCTTTACGAGAAACACCCGGAATACGAGTACGCACTCCTCGTGCGCAATGAAGAGCGTGCCGCTCCCGTGAAGAAGGCGTATCCCAATGTTCGCATAGTACTCGGCGGTTTGGAGGACGCGAGCGTAATCGAAAAGGAGGCGGCTGCTGCTGATGTAGTTATTCGTATGTTGCCGTCCGTTTCATGCTTCTCCCTTAAACATATTTCAAGAAAAGTGTCGTTGACTGAGGAGCCAAAATGCGATGGAATGAGACGCTAACAATGAGGGACTAAGACACCGCTGGGTCTGCTGATGATGAGCCATCCGCAAAAGCCATCGCAAAGGGGCTGGCAGAGGGACACACGCCTGAGAAGCCGGGCTTCTGGCTTCACATCTCGGGTACCGGTATCCTGCAATGGGTGAGACACATACAGAGAGAGATATTCTTCTTTTTCCAATACCTAAGCAAATGGCCACTAACACCCCAACCACAGTACGACATGAGGAACAAACGCTACGGCGAGGCCCCCCTCCCAGACCAAGACTACCACGACATCCGCGACATTGACCGCATCCTCTCCCTGCCCGACGACGCCATCCACCGCGACATTGACAAGATTGTCCTCGGCAGCAACTCCCCCAGCGTCCGCACCGCCATCGTCGGCCCGCCCACAATCTACGGCCGCGGCCGCGGCCCGACGAACCAGCGCTCGATCCAGGTGCCCTCCCTCGCGCAGGCCACGCTGGAAAAGGGCTTCGCGCCCATCGTGGCGCCGGGCAAGGCCGAGTGGGACAACGTCCACGTGCACGATCTCTCACGGCTGTTTGTAAAGCTCGCGGAGGCGACGCAGGACGCGTCCAAGAACGCCGACCCGGAGATTTTGGGCCCGCGGGCGTATTACTTTGTCGAGAGCGGGACGCACGCGTGGCGCGAGGTTGCCGGGTGGGTTGCGGAGGAGGCGTTCAAGCAGGGTTTTCTGCCGGCAGCGTTGACCAAGGAGGCTACGATGAAGGAGGTGCTGCAGAGCGATGGCAAGGCGAACGCGACGTGGGGGTTCAATTCCAAGAGCAAGGCGGAGAGGGCGCGCAAGTATTTTGGGTGGGAGGCGGAGAGCAGGAGTTTGAGGGAGGATATTGCTGATACGGTTGCTTTTGAGGCCAAGAAGTTGGGCATTCAGCCCAAGGAGAAGAAGCAGTGAAGTTGAGCGTGCTTGTCAGTTTTGATACGACATTGTGTGGGGATACTTATTGGAAAGAATGCCCTTGAACCCGATGGAGAGTCTATTTCTTCTCGATGATTTTGATGACCAGGGGTAAGCTCACACATCGAATGGACTGAAGATGGGGCATCTACACTTCCTGGGCTTCCTCGTGATCAATGGCAAATACAACCGACATCTCAACCTCGTTGCCCCAGCCGGGGTGGAGACCCATCTCCTGCCACGCCTTCTCAATGTCGATTTCCAGGACGCAATCGTGGTCCTTGCTGAGGGACACCGTGTGGACCGGGATCACGGAGTTCTGGATGGTGACGAGGAAGTCATCCTCGATTGTCAACTCTGGTAGCTTCGAGATGTACAGACCTGTTGTTTTGGTCTCGTCAGGATTTGCTCTTATACCTTTCAGGAAAACATCACCACCAAGTACTTACCAAAAACGCCGAGCGCCTTGAGACGAGTCTTGAGCTCAACCTTGCCGTCGTGCCGCAGCATAAAGTCGCTATTGAGTATGGCGGCCGCGCCAGTCATCTTGCCCACCAGACCCAGGTTGGCGGTCCACACCTTGCCCTTGGTCTCGCTGTCGAACCCGGAGAGCGGGTAGGCGGTGAAGATGTCGTATCCGCGCACGTCCAGCGACACCGTCAGCGAAGATGCGGCCGAGCCGGAGGACACGGGCTTGCTGACCTTGCCTGACGAGTGCGCCCGGACGACGTAGCGCATGGAGGGGAGAACGCCGGAGAAGGCGGCAGCGAGCGGGATGATCTCCGTTAGGGCGCGCGCGGAGATGTTGAAGACGCCGAGAATCGGGGTGCCCGTGACGGCGGCGCCGTGGTAGCTGCCAATCTTGAGCAGGCCGTCGTCGTCGTAGCCCGTGTAGGGGTCAATGGTCTTGCCGACGACGCTGGGCCGGAAGATGACGGTCTTGCCGCGGATCGTGGGGCCCGTCATCTGCTTGATGAGGTCCAGATCGTACTGCCCGGGCACGTCGGTGATGTAGATAGGCCCCCCGCTGACGCAGCGTGCGGCGGCGTGGAAGCCCGAGTAGTCGTGGACGGTCTGGAACATGTCCCAGTCGGGCAGGATGTTGAGATGCTGCGTGAAGAGACTGTTGTGGGCGTTTGTCCAGACGTGCCAGGGGTGGGAGGCTGGGATTTCGGGGAAGAAGTCGTCCGAGTTGCGGCAGAGGATCGCCGGCCTGTGCCGGGGCATCTGGTTATAGAACATGATCTGCGGCGTCTGCGACATGCAGGAGATGGCCTTGATGCTGAAGTGCCGGAGGGAGGATATGGTCCAAGCATCTAGGTAAGCGTCGATGAGCTCGCGGCGTGCGCTGGCCGAGACCCAGGTGTCAGTCATGAACTGGGCGTCCGTCTTCACGCCGTCGATGCCACAGTCAACGAGGAACTTGTAAAAGTCGTTATAAAACCTGTCGACATCGTCTTTGTCGACTACGGTCATCTTGCCTCCGAGTGGTAGGTTGCGTCGCTCGGCATCCTCCCGGATCACTTCTATCGTCTTGTACTCTTGAGCAATCTTTCCGTCCGGTGAAATGCCCGCCCAATATCCTGGTACAGTCAGCATATACTGTGCTTTGAGATGCAACAAGACGACTGACCTAGAAGAGCGTGCCAGACGGCAATGTGCTGGATATGCGGATGTTTCTGGCGAATGTGCGCCACGGTGGCCTTCAAGCCCTGAGGGAAAGCTTTCGGTTCAGCTTCGAACTCACACCAACCATGCTGAAACTGGCCATGCCCTCTGTAGTCGATTGTCTGCCAGTTATCGTCAATGATGAGGCTGGAGACTTTGATATCATTCTCGGCTAGCTTGTCGACAGCGTCAAAGACCTTTTCGTCCGTGAGGCGTTGCCCAAGAGCATTCCAGGTGCCTATGAAACGCGTTAGACATTAATCAGGGGATTAGGGAGAGTTGATGGTGTGAAACGTTACAAACTTACAGTATCCGAGTCCATCATACCAGTTCTCCATCCACTCTGGTTTAACCCCTTCCTCAATAGCCTTCATTTCGGCCAACAGCTCATCACTGGCCTTCTTCTCTTGAAGAATGTACTGTCTGGCTTGATACATCACACAGGCATTTGCGCTCTCGAAGTTGTCTCCTGTTCCAACCAAGACAGTAGCAGGTTCTGGCTTCGTACTATCGTTACGGGCCTGTGACCAGTAAGCTTTATACTCACCGAGCAGGATGGGGTCCAGCGACGAACGTGAACAGACAATTGCCCAGACTCGCCATGGCGGAAAACGGGCAGAACATGGTTGCCTCCGCTTACTGCGAGGAAAACAAGATGCTTGCCCTCGGAATTCAAAAATGAGCATAGGACGCCGTCTTTGTCGAGATGAAATGAGTCTTTTCCATGGCGAGGGGCCAGCCATGGCGTCCAAATACGGATAAGAGCAAACCACCTATTCTTGTCAGCATCCCACTCCGCTAGATGAAGTTGGAACGGAGGGAAGCGAGTCCTCGAAACGATTCTGATCCTGATAGCGGGCGGGCTTCTAAAAATCAGACATACCTCAGAAACCCTCCCCAAGGCACGCCTAACGAGATGTCGGCAAACTTCGACTCAACTCCTTCAACGGCATCTATAGTAGCTTCAAGTGACCAAAGCCGAGTTCCGGGACACTGGCTCATCATCGGCTTCACTTTCCATGCAGGATTCAGATCAGACACGACGTCATCAATGCTTTCGGAAACAGTCTCAAGAATGGGCCTCGAGTTGAGCACCACAGTGCCATCACCAACGCCTAGCTCATCGCGAGTCCATCTCCATGGCTCGTCTGACGAGTGTCGGAACTTGAGTGTGAATTGGAACGATGATTTGAAAGGAACAGGAGCGGAATAAAACAACCGTCGTACATCATCTGGGACAGCTTGCAAGGTCGTCGGGGCGTCTTCGTCGGCGATGCGAGCAAGAGCAGTTTCGCTCCAGTCGGCTCCATCAATCGAATGCCACACCGCAACCTCCCAGGATTCGCCCGCACGTGAAGCAGGTATCTCTAGGACTGCGGTGATAGGGAGACCACCATGGGAAATCTGCGTATATTGCCCAAGAGGTGGGTAGCTCTGAATGACGGCCTTCATGGTATCGGCGATGGTTTCTGGGGCTGGTTTTTGCTTTGAGACGAAGAGAGACTGAAAGACTTCGGCAAAGTTGTAATTGTCTGATGGCATCTTAATGTCATAAAGGTACGAACTACAAAGAAAGTATGTAAGTGACGAGGCAATAGTTGATGAATGTCTTATTGATGGCAACTGAAGTGAGGAAAGGTAAGAGGCTTTTTCTCAGTTGCTCAAGTTGAAGTGCTGTAGCATGCTTTCATCCCATGTAGGAGTCTGTGAGACTGGCATATGCAGTGAAGTCAAAAAGGCAGTCCTGTGACCGACCTGCTGCACTAACAGCTCATTCTAAAGGTCTCAGCTGCACGACTAGGAACTTGACGCAAGAGCGGCTGTCGCCTGGCACAGGACAGGATCCGCTTAATTGGCCAATTGGCATTTGCGGACAAAAGGGAAAGGAGGATGATTCATCGATTGAAAAGGGACAACTTTGCGCCATGAAGCGTAAACTCAAACAAGACAAGAATCGAGGTGTGAAATACCACGAAGGCAGGCTCAATCAAGTTCTCTAAGCTAGTGTAAGCTGGTTTCTCACAATTATTCTTTAGCTGCTTCCGGGTAAAATAAGTCAATGACAAAATAAAAGATAGATTGAACACACGGTGGATCTGGTAGTGCCAGGATACTGGGGCCTCAGATTAGTTACGTACCTCCTCTGATTGGCTCCAGTTGCTGGGCCGGGGCATTCCGGAAGCCGATTTCGCGCCTCGATTCCAAGGCACACACAGCCTTTCGAAAGGCGAAAGCTTTCTGAGCCGAAACCTCATCGAAAGATTTCATCAAACACCTCATATCACTCCCCATCCTCCACAACTCCGCCATGGCGTCCCGGAGACTAGCTTTGAACCTCTCGCAGGGGCTGCGAAGCCGGGCTGCTCTTTCCAGAGCGAGCCCAATTACCCGGGGCTTCGCTACGCCTTCCAACACCCCCTTCGGCAAGACTCAGACGACAACATTGAAGAATGGACTGACGGTATGCAATCCCAATCCACCCATCCGCTCTATGGCTCAATTGGCCTCGTAAACCGCGTCGCGAATTCCATTTGACAATTGAGATTTAGGTCGCCACCGACTACTCGCCCTTCGCCCAGACCTCGACCGTCGGCGTGTGGATTGACGCCGGCTCAAGGGCTGAGACCGACGAGACCAATGGCACCGCACACTTCCTCGAGCACCTTGCCTTCAAGGTAGGCCAAACAGTGACGACAATGCGATGAGATAAACCTGCTGATGCGAATATTTAGGGCACCACAAACCGGACGCAGCAGCAGCTCGAGCTCGAGATCGAGAACATGGGTGGTCACTTGAACGCCTACACCTCGGTTCGTTCCCGTCGACCGAAATCATCAAAATTTCCTCCCATTGACATTGAAACAGCGCGAAAACACCGTCTACTTCGCCAAGGCCTTCAACTCCGACGTTCCCCAGACCGTCGACATTCTTGCCGACATTCTCCAGAACTCCAAGCTCGAGGAGTCCGCCATCGAGCGTGAGCGCGATGTCATTCTCCGCGAGTCCGAGGAGGTCGAGAAGCAGATGGAGGAGGTCGTCTTTGACCACCTTCACGCCACCGCCTTCCAGCACCAGCCCCTTGGCCGCACCATCCTTGGTCCCCGCGAGAACATCCGTGACATTACCCGCACCGAGCTCACCAACTACATCAAGAACAACTACACTGCCGACCGCATGGTTCTTGTTGGCGCTGGTGGTATCCCCCACGAGAAGCTCGTTGAGCTCGCCGAGAAGAACTTCAGCGGCCTCCCGACTTCCGGCCCCCAGACCTCGGCCTACCTCCTGTCCAAGCAGAAGGCCGACTTCATCGGATCTGATGTCCGTGTCCGTGACGACAACATCCCCACCGCCAACATCGCCATTGCCGTTGAAGGTGTCAGCTGGAACGACGACGACTACTACACCGCCCTCGTCGCCCAGGCCATTGTCGGCAACTACGACAAGGCTATCGGCAACGCCGCTCACCAGGGCAGCAAGCTCAGCGGTTTCGTTCACAAGCACGATATTGCCAACAGCTTCATGAGCTTCTCCACCAGCTACAGCGACACTGGGTAAGTAGCGTCCACGCAGTAAGGAGGAAGAATTGCTAACACATCCTAGTCTCTGGGGTATCTACCTCGTCACCGACAAGCACGACCGCATCGACGATCTCGTCTACTTCGCCCAGCGCGAGTGGATGCGCCTTGCCCGCAACGTCAGTGAGGCCGAGACCGAGCGCGCCAAGGCTCAGCTCAAGGCCTCCATTCTCCTCTCCCTTGACGGCACCACCGCCATTGCTGAGGACATTGGTCGCCAGCTCGTCACCACCGGCCGCCGCGCCAGCCCCGCCGAGATTGAGCGCACTATTGACGCCATCACCGAGAAGGACGTTATGGACTTTGCTAGCAGGAAGCTTTGGGATCAGGACATTGCCATCTCCGCCGTCGGAAGCATCGAGGGTCTCTTTGACTACTCCAGACTCAGGGCCACGATGAAGCCCAAGTACTAAATGTGTGGTTTTTGGCGATTTCCGGGGAGATTAGGGTATAGAGTGTATGAGATACCGTTACAGGCAGGCTAGTGTATCATAAAGACTTCCCTTGTTCATATGTATGTGACAACCGCAAGCTTAGCACCTTGACGACCTAATTTTACTATGTACTTTTGTAAGCATCCAACACTTTCGGTTTAAACCTGGACTCGATGAGACTTGCAGAGCACAACGTGACGAGGCCTGACCCTAATTGTACCCCTGCTTTCTACTGTGAGGCGACCCCTTGGCAACGTTGCCGCTTCCGTCTCAGCATTAAATATTTGCGTTGAGATGAGTAGTAGAAGACGGGGCCTAGCGGACGTTGTAGTTGATCCTGACGGTCTTGACTGTGTTCATCAAAATGAACCCGAAGTGACAGAAACCCTGATTCGTCACTAAATGGCTAAGCCAAGGGAGGATGACCGCCCCGGGGGAAGCCGAAAGAGAAGATTAAGCCACGTTTGAGTATCCCGACATCGCTATCTTCTCCAGCCGCGGTTCAAAGTTCCAGCTAGAAGTAAACTCATCTTTTCCTCGTCCCCAGATTAAGCTCGTAAGTCGACAGGGTGAGGTCGGACCGAGATTGGAAAGCTGTTCCCCCCCGAAATACTGTCATCCGCTTAGTTGTGCTATTGTAGAGGCAGTGTTCATGCCTCGGGGGCTCACACTTAGCAAGACCTTGATGCAATGCTTGCAAATAGACGGGTGTCGGGTCTTTCTACAGGTACGTAGCTCCGGAGTCATATCCTGCTACATCATGACCGTCTTCTAACAAGTCTTCGACACGTACGTTGAAGTGGGATGGGTGCAAAAGAATGTTGATGGCTAAGCGGACTGAGAGTGAATGATACGACAAAGGACGGCGTCACTGCGCGGTCTGAAATACTTGTCACCATCTCAGAGACAACATAGGTCACGAATATGCTCAGCATTGGATTCCAATATAAGAAGGTTTTTCTTTTTCTCTACATGTCCAATGACATTTTTGGTATAACTACATAAAATCATAAAACCCCCCTTGCCATTCATCCAATAATCTTGACTTTTCTTTTTGATGGTCAACGTCAAAAATCGAATGCACTTATTTACGGTTCATGTGGTCGATGCGGATCTCGACGGCTCTGCGGTGAGCCTCGAGAGCCTCCGTCTTGGCGAGCTGCATGACGGACTCGCCGACGTTGCGCAGGCCCTCGGCCGTCAGGTTGGAGCTGGTGATGTGCTTCACAAAGGAGGCGAGGTTGACGCCAGAGTACTGCTTGGCGTATCCGTAGGTCGCTGGAATCATCGGTCAGTCATGGGATATCTTTCATCGTTGATGTGGGTAGGACTTACGCAGAGAGTGGTTGACGCCAGCAGAGTAGTCGCCGACACTCTCGGGGGTCCACTCGCCGATGAAGACGGAGCCGGCGTTCATGACCTTCTCCGTCACCTTTTCGGCATCGTTAATTTGGAGAATCAAGTGCTCGGGCGCGTAGTCGTTGCTGATGCGCATGGCCTCGTCCACGGTCTTGACCTGGATGGTGACCGAGTGGGCAATGGCGCCGCGAACAATGTCGACACGAGGCAGGGCCATGGCCTGGTTGTGCAGCTCGTCCTCGATGGCCTGGAGCTGCTGCTCGTTCAGGTCAATGGCAATCAGAATGACTTGACTGTCAACGCCGTGCTCGGCCTGTGACAGCAGATCGGACGCGACAAAGGCGGGGTTGGAGTCCTTGTCGGCGATGACGAGAACCTCGGAGGGGCCGGCCGGCATGTCGATGCTGACACCGGCGTTGGTGTCGTTGCTGACGTACATCTTGGCCGCTGTGACAAACTGGTTTCCGGGTCCGAGGATCTTGTCGACCTTTGTCACGCTCTCGGTGCCGTACGCCATGGCGGCGACGGCCTGGGCGCCTCCAGCGAGGACGATGCTCTCGGCGCCCACCTTGTGAGCGACGTAGACAATCTCAGGGGTTAGGCTACCGTCAGCGCGGGGAGGCGAGGCGAAGACGATCTTCTGGCAGCCGGCGACCATGGCGGGGACACCGAGCATGAGAGCAGTAGAAGGGAGAACGGCAGTACCACCAGGGACGTAGAGACCAACCCTCTCGATGGGACGAGAGAAGCGGCTGCAAACCACGCCGGGCATGGTCTCGACCTTTAGGGGCTTGTCCTCCTTCTGAGCGGCGTGGAACTTGCGAATGTTCTCAAAGGAAATGTCAATGGCCTTGGTTGATTCGGGAGAGAGCTGCATGGCCTCCTTGGGGAAGGGAGCCTTGAGCACAGGGGAGGTGAGTGATGTCGCCTTCTCGAACTTGTGGGTGTAGGACAGAACAGCCTTGTCGCCTCCGTTGCGAACCTCGTCAATGATGGGCCTGACGATGTTCAGGATGGCGTCGGGTGACTTCTGTGAGGGGCGCTTCAGCACCTCGTCAATCTCAGCGGCGGAAGAGCTGGACAGGTCGAAGCGGCGCATCGATATTCTCTCAGACTTCTCAGCCTTTGCTGTCGGTGCCGGTGCCGGCGCCGCTGCAGGGGCGGGTGCTGTGGTAGTCTTGATGCCCTCCTTCTCAGCCCACTTGCCCTTGGCATCTCCCGTCCTCCTCTTGACCTTGAATGCCTTGGCATCCAAATTTCTCTCAATGTCAGCGAGGCTAACGCCGGCGCTGACAGCCTTTGTGAGAGCAAAGTAAATCAAGTCGGCAGCCTCAAAGGCAACCTCTTGGGGAGTCTTTGCGTCACAGAGCTCCTCGGCCTCCTCCATAATCTTGGCTCGCAGAAGTTTCTCGTCAGAGAACAAGCGAGCAGTGTAAGAGCCCGCGGGCGCGGACTTCTTGCGAGACTGCAACGTCTGTTCGAGTCTAGGGATACCGTTCAGATCACCGAAGCAGCCGTGCTGATCCAGGTGGCAGAAACCGCCAGTCTGCTTGACGACGAACTTTAACGTGTCATTATCGCAGTCCAGGGCGATGCGGATGAGCTCCTGGGTGTCACCGGACGTGGCACCCTTCACCCAGAGACCACGCTTGCGGCTCTGGTAGACGCCAGCCCTGGTCCGCAGGGCCTCTCCGACGCTCTCTGCACTGCTGTAGGCGAGGCCCATCGCGGTGCCAGACTCGTCGCACACGACGGTGGGGATCAGGCCATCCGGCCGGTCCGACTTCCAGAATGAAGCAATGAGCTTGGAAAGGGGAAGCTTCTTGGACTCCTCCTTGCTGGCCGTCAGACCGTCAGACGGCAGAACCGGGATGGCGTTGCATTGCTTGGCGATATCGACAAAGTGCTCGAGGTTGCTCTCGGGCACGGGCTTGATGAACAGGTTCGGGAGCTTCTCCACCTTGCAGTGCTCGATGAAGGAGCCAAGGTTACAGAGGGTAGGATCAAAGTCTTTGACGAGAACGGCGTGCTTGGAGGCGGGCTTCGTCGTGACATCGTCGGTGGTGAGAATGGAGCCCACACGGGATCCGAACTCCTCGTACTGAGCGAGGTTCTCGGGAGAGACAAAGACCATGCGGGCGCCGGCATCGAGCAGGGAGACTACATCGTCCTTTGCTGTGATACCCGTGACGTCAAAGTAGCCGCGGAATTCTGCGTTGTGCTGCTTCAGAAAGCTGTGAAACTTGTCCAGGGTCTGGTCGTTGGCCTCGAAGAAGGGGGCTCCGAGGATCGAGACTTGCTCGCGGTCGAGGCCATCCAGCTTGGCCAGGCCGGGCGGAACGGCCACACTGATAAGGAAAGGGAAGGGTAGTGTTGTTTCCATGGCCGTTCTTATTGTGTGTATGTTGTTGGATATGGATGTGTAACGTATGAGGGGGAGGGGTAATCTTGTAGGTATGCTCTCTCTTATCTCTCTCTCACTCGCATGAAAGTCAAAAGAGCCCAGTAGGAGGGTAGCGTTGAGAAATGAGGCAACAATAGGAAATGAAGTTGCCAAAAGGATCAATTGAGGAAAGTGGAATGTCACTTGTTTATCTAGATACGGTAGACAACCCACTGTGACTCAATTCATTCAGGGAAAGGGAACCGCCACTAAAAAGTAAAAAAATCCTCAGAGTGTGACACCACCACTCTAGCCATGTCCTGCATCGGCGGGTGTGGTGGTGGGGCAGAACAATTACCACGCAGCAGAATTGCCCCTCCATGCAAGTTTTTGGAGGTCATCCAATCCACGCCCTGCCGATTTGCCCGTCAGACACCCCGGTCCATGTGGGATTAAGCTGTGGTCAGTGCGCTGGGATTCTGGCGATGGAACGGATCAACAAAAGTCCCGTCAAGAATTCGGAGCTGAGGTGAGGTGCAGATGGGCAACTCAGGTCCTCACGCTCGACGCGCCAGGCGAGTAGCTCTTTCCGCGATCTAACCAGCCAACTACCTCCCCTAACCTTGATACCCCCGACTTTCCGGCCCCGCCTTCCCATTCGAACCCTCGCAAGCCTTATAAACGATCTTACGAGCTACATCAATTCGTCTGGGTGACTTTCCAACCCCACGCACCATCTGCACAAAACCGACAGCTACTATTTAGTCGCGTTGACGATCGTTAATCCTCGAACGGTGTCCCAAACGGGGATATGCCATCCCGCCATCAAACCACCATTGATACTTCATAACGAGATAATACCATAGTCGCCACGAACACGACACGACACCGCAATCATGGCTTCACAATCCGCCGACCCGCAAACCAACGGCGTGCCCCCCTCCTCAGGCGCCTCAGCCTCGCAAACCGCACCGAACACCCAAGCAACAGCAACGACATCAACAGCAGGCTCTCAACCCCCATCCCAAACCCAACCGACCCAGTCCTCATCCACCCAACAAACCTCACAGCCATCACAACAAAATGCGCAACAGGGCGGCCAACAACAACAGCAGCAGCAGCAACAATCATCAAACCCTCTAGCCCCCAATGCCTCAGCCCCGCGACCCCGCGACTCCCGCATGATAGAACTCCTCCTCACCTCCCAGGGCGTCACATCGTACGAGTCTCGCGTGCCCCTCCTCCTCCTCGACTTCGCCTACCGCCACACCTCGAGCATCCTCTCCGACGCAATCTACCTCTCGGCGGACCCCTACACCTCCCAAGCCGGCAGTAAAGCATCAGGCGGCGGCGGCGGCGCGGGCTCGATCCCCGGCGCGGCAGGCGACGCCGCCGTCACGGCCAACGCCGTCAAGCTCGCCATCGCCGCCAGGCTGGGCTACCAGTTCCGCGGGGGCGGCGGCGCCGGCGGCGTCAGCAAGGACTGGCTGCAGGAGCTCGCGCGCGAGCGCAACAAGACGGCGCTGCCCAAGGTCGCGCAGAACGAGTGGGGTCTCAGGTTGCCGAGCGAACGTTTTGTTCTGAGCGGCGTCAGCTGGGGTCTCAAGGAAGCGTGGGAGGAAGCCGGGATGGAAGAGGACGAAGACGAAGACGACGAGGACGGTGCTGCTGCTGCACCGGGCGGTGACGGGGCGATGGAGGGCGTCGAGGCGACGAATGCGACGGCGGAAGAGGATATCGGCGGCGATGGCGTCGAGGGCGGCACGATGGAGGACGTGTTTGGCAAGGACGTGGACGAGGATGCGGAGATGGAGGGCACTTCTTAGGACTCGGGCCACTCGGTGAAATCGGAGGACTCGGAGTCCACAATGGACGTACTTCACGGACAGGTGCCTCAATGGCAGGGTGAATGAGGGACCTTGGCAGTAACGGCGACTCAAGGTACCCTGGTTTGAGGGCTTTTTATGGTAGAGGGAGAAAGCATCAGGTTTTAAAGCCTAGGTCCCCATGGACACATATTTTGGTTCGTGGTCGATTAGACGCGCAATGATATAATTTCTTGCCCTCAACGTCCGGCGGAGGAACAAGAGGCTCTCTGGGCGTCATATCCGCCTCTCCAGAGACGAGCCCAAGAGGATGCCGCCGCCCAGAACCTGGGTTTGCTGGGAAAATTCGATGCATGGCTAGTCTGCAGTAGAGATGAAAATCAAGACAATCACAAGTATCCCACAAGTATCCCACAAGTATCATGAACCAGAATAGCGGCAGAGTTGAGTGATGTAGCGTCTTTTGCAAGATCACTATCGAGTGAGATATCAAAGCCCAAACGCCTCCCGCTATGCAAACGCAGCACTTCCCTTCCTGGAAACCTATACCCCCCAAACCCGCCCCGTCAACCATGCTCGTAACCACCAAGCCATCTTCTGAAAACTCCCGGGTCTTGTACAAGAAAAGCGCATCGACACGGAGATATTATTTCGCACCTGCTTTAACATTAGGATTGTAAACCGAAGCCTGTTCCTCCTTTTTAGCACACTATTTCTGCACGCCTTTTTCAAGGGTGAGATGATTTACCCCAGTGATCAACTCGGCGCCAATGTCTTCCACAAGCATCGTTGGTGCCGGTGTGGAAGACTTGGTTTCCTTGCCGCTGGGCTGAGGCGTTCGCTCGCGTTGTTTTCGCACTTCGAGCTCAGCCATTTCGTCTTCTGCTTCGTCGTCCTCCTCCTCTTCGGCGTCCTCGTCATCGGCGTCGTCATCCTCCAGGATGGAGGCGGCCAGCTGGTCGTCGCCGTCGATGCTTCCACTAAGGATGCTCTCGCGTTCATCGCCGTAATCGTCGACCGAGTCTCGGGAAATGTAGCTCTGTCCCATCTCATCACCAATCTCCTCGTCATCGTCAACATCTTCTTCCAGATCAGCTTGCTCGTTATCGTCATCTGTATCGCTCGCAGAGAATTCATCCAAATCCAATGGGGTATCTCTCCAATATGAAAAGTCCGTATACTCTTCTCCTCCACCCTTGACCAGAGTGCTGACGGGAGGGAAGAAGTGGTCGACGACCTCATTGATGTTGATGTAACTCAGCTTGAGTTTGTTCAATGTGAGCAAGTCGAGGGAAACCTCAGCGTTGGAGTTGATGGTAAAAATACGTTTCTTGGGAACATCCACCGTCCTGTACGAAATCTGGTCCGTGAGACGGTTTCCAAATCCAGCAAAAAATGGTGTCCGATCAGGGCCGTATAAATTGCGGATATCCCGAAGAGTGGCCATCTTGAAAACTTCGGGTTTCCTGAGGTAGACCTCGCGGCGGAGTGCGGCCATGGTCCGATCTGGGGACAAGATGGTAGGCCCCCGCGGCACCCGGTATTCTCCCTGTTGAATACCGGCGAGATACGCCCTAGTCGTATCGGATTGACCCACTGATCGACTGGTCAGGTACATGATGTTGTATCCGTTTGCGACAATGTCACTGTAGAGTTTGGCTACTCCAGCGTGCGTCCAGTCACGGCCAATCATGTTGAGAACGTGGCCCAGAGCGTCCGACTTGGTAATCGTGCCATCAATGTCCGAGATGACAACGGGCGTCTCATGCCTCCACAAGTACATGTTGGCCTGGCACGTTGCTCTATTGACGGTGAAGCTCATAGTGTTCTCTCCAGGCTTCAGACACAGGTCTTTCAGCTGATCACTAGTCAACCTCAACGTCTTTGCGTAATTCAAGTTTGGGTCTCCAGCCGTCGATTGAGGAGGTGTCGTAGGAGGAGTGTGTAGGCCAGATGCACCGGCGTCTGACTCGGTCCTTCGGTGGTTTGGAGGAGGCACGGTGGTAGTCACATCGCTACCGTCGCTCTGGTATCCCGGGTCGGACGCAGCATCCGCCGCGATCACGGAATGGAGGCGGTAGCCAGCTTCCATGGTCTTCTTCTTCGCAGCCTCTTTGGCCTCTTCACTGCTGTAGATCCAGATGTTTCCATGCTCGTCCATGCCGAAAAGCGAACCAATATCGTACGGGCCCTCGAGCTCCTCGGAGAGGATCTTTCGCGCAAGAATCTCGGCGCGGAACACATCTTCTTCGTTGCTCTTGAACCCAGTCATGTCAAGCATGAGGTCACCGCTCTCGGTCACATGGCTAGGAATGTTGTTGGCCGATAGCTCCTTGGAAAGCATAAGAGCGCGTTCCAGCGCTTCTTTGGGTGCCAACGGAGGAGGGCTTTGTGATCGCTCGGACATGGCGAAGTCGGTCAGGCCTTCCCCGAATACTCGGTCGCTCGTACGAGCTGATTTGCGCAACACATCATCGCTGTAAGGGCGCTGGGCGGCTGAGGAATCCCAGTCTTCCGATCGCAGTCGTGCGTGGGATGAAAGGTCAGGGGACGTTGACAGAGGTGTGTTTAGCCCTATAGCAGTTAGCATTTTCTGCCTTACAGAAGATCAATAAGGGTAAGGGCAAGTGAGGGACAAACCATGGGGTCCGGGTCCGAATGTTGCTGCGTGCAGGACAGATGGAGGCGGTCGTCGAGGCTTTGAAGCCTCCGAATCCAGATCCAGAAGTTCTGGCTCCCCGAGTCCAGGCGAAGAGGGATTCTCCGGGTTCAAGGGAGGACTTGACGCTGGGGAGACTAAAGGCGAAGTCTGCAGATCCCTCGGGATAGTATCGCTTGTTTCGAAGACGAAGAAGGCCTCCCCCTCCTCGCCGAGCTTCATGGAATAAGGTTGTTTGACGCCGTTGACCTTGAATTCGACTTTCTTCTCGTAGGGCCTCAGCAGAGAGAACTTTCCGAAGCGCACGTGGAAAGGCGAACAGTTGAGAGAGCCGTCCTCCCGCTCGATGACGATGACATCGATGGCACCACTAAGGGTTGCCGGGTTTATAGAGTTCCATGTCGAAGAGACGGAGGCGCTGAGATTCCGTACGTACTGCATGGCGACTGAGGAGTTGTGTCGCCGTTTGCAGCAGGTTGGAGGGCGGGTATCTTGAAGCAGGTGAGCCGGAACGT